TCTCTTCCTTCTACTTTCATATTTCATTCATATGAATGTGTGTATACATTTAAACTTGCTATAGCACATGATGTTTGCCTTTTTATCTCCTGTTACCTCATTTGTTCCCCCTTATGTCTTCTTCCCTACACTGCCCCTTTTCTGTTTTTACTTAAATGTATTGAATATATACACATATATAGGTACATATATATCAATTCTATACGTGACAGAAAACGTTATTTGTATAATATGTTCCACACATTTGTTTGCAAGGAACTTAAGCCGGTAGCTGTACCTGTGTGGCTACTCCTTCATACTGGGGAACTAATGAGCTGGTGGTAAATGAGCTCCTGGAGCCAAGGCAGGACAGAGGAATTAGTGTTCTCAGAACCACGGCTGCTGACTGCTGAGCTGCGTCCGGCCATTAGCCTGAGGTTGTGACTAATTGCTTTATAATGTAAGAAAGAAAGATTTGCTTAATGTTTCATGAGTCAGCCGAGCAAGCATCTCTGTAATGAGAATATATTGCTGTCAAAGACTGCCCTGATGCATTTCTAACTTTCTGATTTTTCTTAGGTTGGGTTGGATTTTACGTTCTAACATATGCTTAATGTGCTAGGGATTATTTATTCCTAAAACATTTTTATTAAGCCTCTATCAATTGTTAGTGTCTTAGACATTAAGATGTATGGCGAGTCGAATTTTTTTTAAGATAGTCGTTTTATTAATGCATCTTCCTCTGTAAATAAGCAAAGAAGACTCCATGTGTAGTGACTGTAAGGCAACTAGATTCTGCCTTTTAGCATTAAAAATAAAATGACTTGGCCTGGCCAATTGCCCATGGCTGAGACAAAGGTCAGATGGGACCCTCACCACAGATTTTGAGAATCTCATACAGCACAAGAAGGTGAATAAAAGGCCTCTACCAGCTGGGAGCCTCAGTGGGTATGAATCATGCACAGACTCGTTCACACGGGGCAAGGCCTATAACAAGCACTGGCTGAGGGGCAGTGTCCCTGCTACTGCAGGAAATTCCCCGCAGATGTGCCACCAGGAAGACTCCATGCAGGGCCTTTAGGTGGGGCCAAAGACATGGGTAGGACTCTGCTTTTCTAGAACATTCCAAATATGAGCAAAGTGCAAATTAAGTGAAAGAAGAAAGAGCAGAGAGCACAGGGACCTGCCTTCAAGTTGTTTCTACTTGAGAAAGAAAGAAAACTAAAAACACAAAAGCCACATACATGATCAGTATATAGCTGCAGCCACTGGCCAAGAGTGGTGTGCTGCAGGGAAAAAGCGGGCTGGCATTCACACCTCTGTCTTGTGTAGGCCAAGCTGCCCATCTCTCTCCAGGCAGTTTTCTAGCCTCCCCTGGGACTGCTGTCTTCTATAGAAGCCATCCGTACCATCAACCATACTCCTCCATCCCAGGAAGCCCCTGCCCTCTAAACTCCACTGGCTTCAGAACACACTCATCACAATTTGACCAACATGTTCCACCAGAACCGTCGACTTTTGGGTCAACCTGTGCAGATCTTGTCTGCTGGATCTGGTCCTGGGGACCTGAAAGAACAGGATGGACTAGAGTCTAATACTGTGGACAGCCTTACTTCAGTTCCAGTGGACTTCTATACATGCATGTAACAAAGAAAGCGATGGAAAGAAACAAGGAAGTCACTGAGTTTGAGTTCCGAAAAGCATGTGAATAAAAACACCAATAAGCACATACTAAAAATTGGTAGCCCTTTCCAAGAATTTTCTCAGGACTGACCAATTTTATTAACACGACTGCCTGGCATGTACTATAGATCATAACTACAAAAACATGGAAGCAAGGTAGAAGGCAATTAAGGGCACACTGACTAGACTGAGTTTTATAGCTGTGTTCTGACATCCAACAAGAATAAACATGTCTTATAAATTGAATGTAAATGTTTAATACAGGAGGTACAAAATCACATCCAAGAACAATCCAGGGAATAAAATGCACCTGAGGTAAAAGGCCCTCTGACTTGTTTTCCTGGAGCCTCTCACAGTCACAGTTCCCCAAGGCATTGTTCACCATGTGTCATTCTTTTGACTGTGTTCCAACACACGAATCCTATGGCATCTTTCCATTTGCCCTCTGACCAAATTATGCCAGGCCCTGTGTCACACTCTGCATGTGCCAACACTTTCATGTGATCACATGCACCTGCCCTGACCTTTCTCCCTAGAGTTCCAAAGAGAGTGTGTTCTGTCTTCCCAGCCCACCTTCATCCCCCTTAGGACTCAGCCTCTCTGGTGCAGACCCAGGGACCCCCTAGTCTTCCCTTGCCCCCCTTAGCCATTCTTCTGAGCCTACCTCCATTCCTTTGTGACATCCCACCAGCCTGCAACACCACTCCCTACACAGCCGCTCCACTCAGCTAGAACCCAGATGGGCACATCTGCCCTCAACAGAGAAGCTTCCTCTTGCAGTAGATGGGAATTAACACAGACACCCACAACTGGACAGTGTGAAGGCAGTGAGAGACCTTGGAGCACACTTCGCCCTACATGTAATGTCTCCATCAAACCTCAGCTAACAGGGATCTGTGGGGAAGAGAAGGCAGAAAGATTTGTAAGAACCAGAGGTAGTGGATGACTCCAAGGCAACAGTGTATGAGCTCACAAAGACTGACCACGTGCACAAGACATGGACAAACCCATGCCAGACAAAATTCTAGCACAGGGAAGCGGGAGGAGACACAAAGTCCCACCCCAATCAGAAAGTTACTTGCAGTTGATATCTGCTAGGGGAAGGAAGATCACTTTTCTCCAGGAGAGTGATACTGAGTATACCAACCATGCTCCAATGGAGGCCTCATGCACAGGAGTTGTTGACCAATAGTTGACCAATATGCAACAGATTCCATGGTTTGTGTGTGTGTGTGTGTGTGTGTGTGTGTGTGTGTGCACTTCTGTTACTGTTGTGGTGGTTTGGTGCTTTTGTCCTTTGGGGGTTTGTTTTGTTGACCTTACTTCATCCTGACTATGCAGCCACAGTAACCATGGCATCTGTGAAGTTTCCATTGTTCCCTATGCAGACTAGATTAGTCTCACTCACTTCCAGAACAGTAGAGGGAGCTGGGAATCCTGCCAGGTTAATGTGTTGATAAATTTCTATCACAAGGAGATAAAATAAACACTGTGACAATAATCTACATGCCCAGAAGGGGGAGTTTGTTTATTCTCCATGCAAGTGACATCCAGCCATTTTCCCCCTCCCAGTTTTCTTTGAGACAGGGTTTCTCTGTGTAACATCCCTGGCTGTCCTGGAACTCACTCTGTAGACCAGACTGACCTTGAACTCATTGAGATCCACCTGCCTCTGCCTCCCAAGTGCTGTGACTAAAGGCGTGTGCCACCACTGCCTGGCCATCAAGCCAAATCTTAAGAGTTTCAATAACATTTAATATTTGCTGATAACCTGCTGTGCGGTGAGAACTAATAAGTTCTGTTTATTTGAATCCATTTAATTTTTGTAATCTAGGAGGTGAGTACTTGCTAACCCCATTTCACAGATGGAGAAGCAGACTTGCTAAGTAACTTAGCTGAAAGCAAAAAGCAAAGCATCCGACTCCAGAGCCTACTCTCTTTATTTCACTTATTCATTCATTTTTGACCATATGTCTGTTTTATTATATTTATTGTTATTTTTAAATTCCATACAATATTGTTTCTTCATATTCTTTCCCCTCCTCCAATTTCTCCCAGATCCTCCTCACCACCCTACCCAAACTTTCATGTTCTTTTTTCTTCCCTCCAAACAGAAACAAACCAAAAATCAACAAAACATCCCCCAGAGCTCAAAGATCCCAGACAGCAAAGATTTCTTTCTCGCTCACAGTTGTGCTCTTCACTAACTGGTAAAGATTCAATGCCATATTGCCCTCAGTCAGGGACCTAAGAAGACAAAGTATATACTCTCTGGAGTATCACCATTCTCACGGACAAAGGGAAGAGAGTGTGGCCAAGATGCCTGCTTAAAACTGGCATGTGTCTATTTACATTTCCCCAACCAAAGTGAATCAGACGAGAAAAACTGTGAGTGTTCCTAAGACTAGAACGCTGATATTCAGCCTGATGCTAGCAGCTGCCTAATTCACCTGAGGAATAAGCTGGCTTCCAACATGTTTTTGGCACCTTGCATCAATGAGGGCTGAAGCAGTGAGTGGGTTGTAACCTCAGTCCAGAGAGAAGAGGCCCTGACATCCACTGGAGATGGAGATCGTGTGCAAGGGAGACAGCAGCAGGGCATTTAGTTAACAAACTTGGACTCTGACTCCGAGGCTCAGCCCTCAAGGGTAGAGCAGACACATGGCCTGAAAGGGTCACAGAGTTCTAGTGTCATGCTGGCCCCATGGCTTAAAGAACACCCATCCAGATCTTCACCTTCTTTATTACACTTATTTGGGGCAGGATATCATGTGCCACTGCATGCAGGTGTGGAGGTCAGAGGGCAGTGTGGATCCCAGGGATACAACTCAAGTCACTGGACTTGGCAGCAAGTCTGTTTACCCACTGAGCCATCTCACCAGCCCAAGATCTTAGTCTGTATTTACACATTACCCACAGCTCTCTGAACATGCAAGGTCAGCTGTTCCTTGGAGAGATCCTAGAACACTGCTTCAACTGACAGGGTACCAAGGGGCCCTCCGCCTTTCCTCGCCCCAAGGGCTGCAACATGACTGTCCCAACCCAGCTGGGTTAGGACAACTAACTGACTTATCTAAGACATATATCCTAGTGAACATGGGGTAAGTTTTTTTTTTTTTTTTTTGAGAAAGGGCCCCTCCATGTAGCTCTGGAGCTCACTATGCAGACAGAGAACTCACAGGGATTTACCTGCTTATGCTTCTCAAGTGCTGTAATTGAAAATATGCACCACCGTGTGTACCTATGAGGGTCCCTGTAGCCATGTCAGTTTTACAGCTATACAGTAATATATGATCTTCCCAAAACAGATGGCCATGTGTTTATCAAAGTGACAAGACTCTGGAAAAATGAAATTTATTCAGTTACCTGAACTGCAGCCAGCAGTGGGAGCCAAGTTCATCAAATGGTTTCCCACAATCTAAGAGCTCACAAAACAAATCATACAAACAGACAACATGACTGCTCCCCAAAGTTCCAGGTATCCTCAGCCTTGGGTCCTTTAGGAGTCTAGGAGTAGACACAGTGATGATGACCCTCTCCTGGAAGGCACTGTAGCATGGCAAGACTAGTGGTGCTCTGGCCCTTCATGCATGCCCACTTAGACAGGGCATTTCTACTGAGCCAGAGCCATCAAAGGCCAGCAAAGGCCTCACCACAGAGGAAAGGGTGGGACCGGTGGGACAAGGCACTCTCTCATGAAACTTACTGCCCCCTGTGTCAGGGGCCTGGGGACGTAAGGCTGTACTCGGTCGTGGAAAAGGCCTCGTGCCTTGCCACCATCTCTAAAACAGTCTGTCAGAACCGTGTTTGCCAAAATGCTCTGGTCCCTTTTGCTGCTCATGCCACCTGCCTTTCCTTCTCTGGAATGTGCCTTCCAGCCAGCTGTGTTGAGAGGACTCAGGGTAGCACTTTGCCAGGAGCAAATGTGCATGGCAAGGAGAGTACACAGACCCCAGCTCTCTCTAAGTCATCCTGCTTCAGTGTCCTTAGGTTTCTCTCCACCCAGAAATCACGCTATAGCTAAGGGACCACAGGACTGGAAAGGGGGCCTCCCTCCACCTTACAACCCTGCAGGAGGGATTTTTCCAATAACATATTTGACTCAAAGCTGGACCTCTTATAGAGTCCAGTCCAAACCCAAAGCAGGTCTTCCTTGCTTAGTTGGAGCCATGGCTACCAGACTGTCCACTCTGAAGTTTTATTTCTGTCCACAAATGAATCACAGATGAGCCTAGTGATCAGGAAGCTGTTTGTGTTTTTCTTTCTTCGGCTCCCTCTCCTTCTCCCTCCCATTCTGTCCACATCTCATATTTGCATTCGCAATCAGGTCTCAGAAGATCCAGTTCTTGGAAGGCACTAGTTTGGGATCTGATTAGTGACTCCTAGCTGCATGATTCCCATGTGCCCTGAAGGTAAGGTCTTGGTCAATTTAAATAGTACCTGAAGATCAAGTATAATTTACAGTCTGCCCACAGAACTGTCCAGAAAAAGGACAATCCACTGATCATGTTGGCAATGTCAATTAGACAGAATTCCTTTAACCACCAAGCCCGCTGAACTAAGGCTCCTTCTGACTGAGGTCTCTCCGGAGCATGACCAGAGCTGCTCCAAAGGCTGCATCCGCATCCTGCCCAAAGCACACAGGCAAAGGAAAGGCCCTCTGAACCTCCTGCTTCAGCACCTCATTCCTGGACAGCGCATTCCCACTCCCCATCACCCGTTCCACACCCCACTCTTTGAGCTGCTGAAAAGGAAGCATCGAGTGCAGGTTCTGAACAATGCCTCTGCACAGGGCCCGGGTCACATGACCCAGGGAAAGGTCAGAGGAGGAGATTCTTGTCACAGAGGCCAGCTGGTCTGGCAGGTGCCTCTCCCCCAGCACTGTTGGTGTGATGGTGAGGTGTGTGTCTTTCTGCTCTGCAGCCGCCTGGATCATTCGTGAATACACGGTGGATTCTTCAACCTCCAGGCCTGTCAGAAATGGAAGATCTGCGTGAGACCATGCAGCTGCTGGAAGCAGGCAGAGGCTGTTTGAGAATCCCCAGGGGGAATGGGCATGTCTGTCTACTGCTTCTCACACTGTGGCTGCAAGCTTCAAGGCTCAGAGATTCAGTCTGGCTGGCTAGATTCTGTTCTAGATCCCAGTCATTTGCCTCCCTGTGGCCACAGATAGACTTCTGGGAGATACATCATTAACTATAGCATAGCTATGGGACCTTAAGGGACCAAACATAAACACCCACCAACAAGCATCATCAGAACTGCTCTTTGAGCCATTAGCAGTGTCACTGCTATCCGTGGATCCACACTGAACCACCCTTGCCATATGAATCCAGCCTAGGCCATTCTCATTGTATGGATGGGATGCCTGGGGCCCAGGAAGAAGTGATATGTTTGTTATCTTCAACTGACTGATGTTAAGCCAGTGTCCCAGTCAGATTTCAGTTCCCTGTCCTATGTTATCTCTGCATTCAAAAAAAAAAAAAAAAAAAAAAACTACAATCTGGGTATAATGAAACTCCAGAACAGAGACCCTCATCTCAAAAAGAGACTTAATATACAAATAATAAGGAAGGTTGGGGTTTTTTGTTTGTTTTGGGGTTTTTGTTTTGTTTTATTTTGTTTTGTTTTTTGGCTGGGATATGGCTTGGTGGTAGAACACTTGTCTAGCATGATTAGAGCCCTGTGTTTAATATCAAGCACCATAAAAAGGAAAATAAAAGATTCTGAGGGAGAACAAATATAACTTTGATGAGAAAAAAAGTTACCCAGACTAGGGGCTCTTTACTAAGTGCAGCTCACCACCATAGCCTGAGTTGCTCTCAAGTCACTATGGGATGCACTCCCAGACCCTTTGATGGAACATGCCTAGGCTACAGATTCTGAGATGCAGCCAGGTTAGATAGCCATGAGCCTAGGGCTGAAGGTGCTTCTGAAATATGAGTATAAAATATGAACACAGCTTCTGACTCAGGGTACCTAGGTCAGACTGTGAAATTCTGTATTTATGGAAAGCTCCCAGAGGCATGGTGTTGCTGGTACCACTTAGAGAAGTACAAATGCAATGGCATCAGAACCACCCCATCTCCAGACTAAGTCAGCATTTTGGAGCATGGAGAGGTCAATACTGGGTCTTGTAGGGGCTGTGTGTGTGTGTGTGTGTGTGTGTGTGTGTGTGTGTGTATACACACGTGTGCTATATGTACTTGTTCAGGTGAGTACATGAATGTGGATGGGGTGCACATGTGTGTATGTCCAATTAGAGTGATAAACAGAATAGTACTCTCTCTTTTACAGGTAAGAAAAACAGCCCCTTACTGGCAGCACAGAGAACAGCTGGTAGACCCAATCCAGTTACAGCAGTATCTGAATATAGGGTTTGCCTAAATGGTCTGAGGACGTGGTCTGCAACTCAAAACCTTCTCCTGGTTCTTCCTACAAAGAAACACTATGAGGATCCAAGCCAAGAAGATAGAATTTACCCCTCAATCTGCAACACCAGCCTGCCAACTTGTGTACAGCCAATAGAAGCCTCCCGCATGCCTTCTGCCTGTGCCTCTCCTATTCCCCTATTTCACGGTTCCTGCAGTTACTTGACTTTGACATACACGTTCCAGTGATCACTGCACCTGACATGTCCCAGGGATCACTGTACCTGAGGGCCACAGTTTTCCTAAACCTGGGTAGCTGACCTTCAGTGTTTACAAAACAGACCTCTGGTAGATGACAGTTACATGTGCCATTGTATATAAAGAGCAAAAGAAACTGGCAGATCCTCTTTTGAAATAAAAGGAAGCAGAAATAAAGGCTCCATAAGACCCCAAGTGCCTTCCAAGAAATCCAGGCAGGAACTGCTAACCAGGAGTAAGTGTCAAACACCAATGGTCTTGTTTGCTCATGTATGTTGGTCATTCCATTTCAGATATTTGTAGTCACCAGGCAGTGGTGCTGCACACCTTTAGTCCCAGCACTCACGAGGGAGGCAGGTGGATCTCTAAATTCAAAACCAGCCTGGTCTACAGAGCAAGTTCCAGGGCAGGCTCCAAAGCTACAGAGAAACCCTGTCATGGAGAAAAAAAAAAAAAACAAAAACAAAAAAAAACAGATATCTGTAGTCATCAGAAGGAGGCCATAAGACCTGGATTTCCTAGCAGAGAGTAAGACTATGAGCCAGGGGGAGCTGGGAAACTATTGCAATAATCCATGGTCAAAGTCAGGAGGGGGTGCCTGGCCACCTGCCCCCACACACACACACACACACAAAAGTGTACAATGACATTTCAGAAACAGAGGAAAGGAAGCTGAAGGCTCAGACTCCTGGGACAGGCAGGAATATCCAGGGACTCAGCTGGGTGGGAGACTGGATTCTGACATTACACATTAAGTGACAAGGGCAATAAGCAGAGAACACACTACCCTGTGGGCTACATCTTACCTAGATCCGCCATCCACTGAACAAGCATGTGGACAAACGTGGCCAGCACATTGCCCCCATTGAGTGATGCTGCCACCCCTAGGTAGGTCCTGTTGAAGTAAGGGAAGAAGGCGACTGGGGCTGCAGGGTCGGGAGTCTGCAGTGGCTGGAATCCCACAGGCATTGAGGCCGCCAGCTGGACGGAGGTGCTGACGTTGAGAACTGCACAAAGACAGCAGAGCTTAGCCCTGCAGCGCAAACTCGGGGTCACATATCATAACATCATAACAGAGCGGACGTCCTGTTCCTGTTCAAACTATGTACATTCATGAATAGTATTTCTTTTTTAAGAGGCATAGACGATTGTTCGCACCAAGTGTGTGCTGGACTCAGTCTAATAAATAAAGTAAATTGTATTAGACTAGACTCAGTCTAATAAAATAAAGAAAAGCAGGAGCAATAGTGCATTACTATCCAGAGCTAGCAGGTTTAGAAACCAAACTGAAGTCAGCATCCAATTTCCTCATCTGTTAGGAAATCAGAAACAACAACAGCAGAATCAGCCTCAAAAGGCAAAAAAGAACCTTTGTGCTACGCCACATCAAACCTTCTAGCAAGGCTAGAAGTCAGAAGCAGCATGTGCCCCACCCGCCTCAGGTCCCATATCCTAGGAACAGCCTCACCACTAAATCAATTTTAGAACATTTCCATCACTCTAAACAGAAAATGTACCCTTTCACAATCACTCGCCACAGCCCCTAGCATCCAATCATCCCTCTCTCTCCATGGATATGCCGTGACATTATGGCATTGTCTATTAATGGAAGCATGTGATGTATGGCTTCATATCTGTCTTTCACTCTTCACATTGTAGGCCTTAAATTGCCCACAACTCCATTCGGGTTGTTTCTGAGCGGGGCTGTTGTGAACACTACTGGCATGAACCATGGGGTTGGAGTGATTGTGCGGGCATGTGTTTCTGGTTCTTTTGCTGTGTCTCTAGGACATGGTAACTCCACATCTAACCTGTGAGGACCTATGGGCTGTTTTCCAAAGTGTCTGCACCGCTTTATGCCCTCAGGCTTTATAGATTCTTAAAAAGAAACCAAATGGAGACTATGTCCTGACAGGAAGGGTTCTGCACTTAGAAGTGCATCTACTATAACTTTCGTTGACACAATAATAACAGTGCTAGTTCCCTCCTCTTGCCTCACCTCTCATGCTGAGAACAGAACCCATGCTGGGCAAGTACTCTGCCACTGAGACATGGTCCCAGCTAATCTCTATTTTCTTGGTCATGGAGTACATAGAAAGAAAAAGACAGCCTTTCCCCTCCCCAGCCCTAGTGGGTTCAATGCAAGGGGCTAGAAGCCTGAGACTTGTCACCTTCCCAAGTGTAGATTCCCCTGCAAGGATGAAGGTGTTTAGACCTTCACAAGATGCTGAGCCTGCAGTTACACTGTGGGTCACAGACCCTGGGTCAGAGTTGGTACAGAGGAGACAGCAACACGAGTCTAAGGAGGAAACAAAAGGCAAACTTACCTGCATCAGTCCTTTGGTCCATGCAGGAATAGACAGAGGCTTGTAAATCACCCAGGGCCACGCCCACCTGTGTGCCCTTTGGGATTTCAAACCATGTGTGAGAGGTTCTGCCTGCCATGCTGCCTGGCTCTGCGATGTCAGGGAGCAGGTGGACAGGAAAGCCTGCTGCTTCCAATCTGCAAAACAGAAGCGAGTCCTAGGGTTCCCGTGGTGTTTGGTCATCTGGATTTTACTGGTTCCTGGAAACTCAGTGCTACAGCTTACACACAGCAGAAGGGAGGACAGATATCAGGATGCTGTGTTAGCACAAAACGTCCCTGACATTTTTAAAGTCATGAGTTTGGGTTTTGTAGATAGTGAACAAAAACTTGAGATTCACTATGGAGTAGGATTAGGGGGACAACCAGTCTCAACAGCAGCAATCAGAAAGAGGTAGAGATAAACAGAAGAGGATGGGAGCCGGGGTTAGAGATGAGCCAGACTTCAAGGGCATTCCAGTGCCTGTGTTTGAAGGGAACACAACCCTTCTGCAAAAGAACACCAGGGCCCCAGTACCATTAGAGTTGGTTAGCACATTCCAAACCAAATCAGGCCCAGTGGCTTCATAAACACCCCATGCATCCATTGCTCATAGTTAGTGAAGACTACATGAAACACACCAGAAAGTTCTTTACCTGAACTAGCATGTGCTTTTAATTGTATCTCAGGGCTCAAAACTGAGGCCCTGAAGGAAGTGAACTTACAGCACCCTGGAGTTCTGTACCTGCAAAGGCAAATGTTTGTGTAGAATAAAGTGGAAAGCATCCTCTCGGCAGAAAGCCTCTGTCCCTACTCTTTAAAATACAGGTAAGAGTGAAAGTTCTAAAACCCCACTGGCATTCTCCCTCGAGGCACACCCTTCATCTGGATCCACCCATGAGGCTGTACTCACATCTCCAAGTTCCAGCTTTGGCTCTGGGTGTTAAAATAGCCCCAGCTAGCAGCATTCTGGTCAGACATCAGGGGTCTTGGCAGGCCACACAGCATGGCAACCACGTAGTCTTGGATGGTGCCAGCTGCATCATAGGACGTCAGGAACTCTGGGCTGTTTGTCAAACAAAAAGCAGTTCTGCATGATATAATAAGGTTATCAAAGCTCATGCTACACCTAGCTGCGAACAGAGGGGACTAGACATGGCACAGCTAGGACACAGCCATAACCTCCCACACAGTGAACCTGTGAGGAAGGCTATCTAGCCACTCTAGAGCAAGCTATCCCAAGTCAGCCCCAAGGGAGGGAACTTGGAGGAAGAGGCACTATACCCAAGAAAGAACGTTATGGCCCTGACCCCCCTATGAAGTCACCTGACCTCTCCGTCTCCCTCCCCACCCCATCTCTATCCCCTTATCCTGAGTTAGAACAAGATATCCAACAGTGAGCCTCCACAAATAGAGCCGATCCAGACCAAATGTGACTTCGCCCTGTGCCAGGCCCCACTCAAGACACAAGGCAGCCGGTAAAGAGATGCTGACTAGCTAAAGCACAGTCCTCATCTGTTCGCACCCCAGAAACCACATGCTGATTCAAAGGACAGTTGTCAGACCTGTTTTTCAAAAGCCAGAAGATGGTTGCACAGCCAAATCCAGTGGCCACACTGAGATGGGATGCTGGCTTGGGCAGAGAAGCCAGGAAACCACTGTTACAACGGCCATCCTGCCATGTGACCAAGTGGCTCACAGCTCTGGGCTCAAATACAAGGGCAGGCCCTCCCTGCATCCATTCACAGCCTGCAACAAAGGAGATGACAAAAAAAAAAAAAAAAAAATGGAGAAAACATCACTGAGTGAGTATAGGCACGCCCTTGGATCTGCTCTGCAAGTGGTTTTATAAGACAGACATTCCCTCTCCATGACAGTGCTTCATTCAGACGTGGTTCTGACACCAGAGTGGCTGAGCGACCCTGGAAAATCACTCACTCCTCCTGTGTCTAACCTCTGTCTTGCGCTCTCTCTCTCTCTCTCTCTCTCTCTCTCTCTCTCTCTCTCTCTAATTTTCATTCTTCTTGGGGCAAGGGGTGGCTGCTCTTCCAGAAGACCCAATGTCAATTCACAGTACCTATAAGGTGGCTCAGAACACTCTGTAACTCCAGTCCTAGGTGATGCAATGCCCTCTCCTGGCCTCAGAAGGCACTGTATGTCCGTTGTACACAGACATTCGGGCAAGCACTCATACACATATAATAAACATAAATTAAATCTCATAAAAGTTTAAAGAGAGAGATTGTGGGACATGAGTTTCTTTTCTGTCTCTCACCTACTTTCCAACCATGAAGTGAGAAGTTTGTCTCTCCCACCTTTCCACCATGACACGCCTGTGATGGTTTGAAAGAAAATGGCCCCAAAGAGAGTGGCCTTGTTGGAGTAGGTGTGGGTCTTGTTGGAGGAAGTGTGAAACTGTGCAGGCAGGCTTTGAGGTCTTTTTTTTTTTTTTTTTTTTCAAGCTTCACTCAGTGTGACTTCCTGTTGCCTGTAAGATGATGGTCTAATGGGCAACACACATTGGTTCTAGTCTAGTCTCTGAGCAAAGAAAAGAACAAACCCACTGTCTTCATGAAGCTTATATGCCAGGATAGAGACAGAGTATAAACAAGCAAAGATGCTACCAGGTACTTTTAGTTGCTGTGGAAAATGTGCAGAGGGGGAAGGGGAAAATGGTGGTAGGTTATTGGAGGTCCAGGAAGTCCTCTCTGAAATAACATGTGAAGAACATGAATGGAGTAAGGGAGTGAACCTTACAAATAGACTGGAGAGAAGGCTCAGAGGTTAAGAGCACAGGCTGCTCTTCCAGAGGTCGTGGGTTCAATTCCCAGCAACCACATGGTGGCTCACAACCATCTATAATGAAATCTGGTGCCTGCTTCTGGCCTGCAGATGTACATGCACACAGAGCACTCATATTCATTAAATACATAAATAAACCTTTAAAAAATAAAAATTGGCTGGGGACACATGTTGCAGATAGATGAAACCATGACTGCAAACACTCTAAAGAGACTTTGTCCGACTGTCTGCCAGTATTCCCAGCACTGCAGCACAGCAGAGACGTGGGTTACAGGTAAGGGACCTATGAGGTCCGCAAGTGTCGGGTTAAGTTCCCCTGCAAGGCAGGCACAGGAATAGGCACTTCCTCACCACAGCTGCACTGCTGTCTGAATCTAAGCATGGGCTTCTGAGCTCAGTCCCAAAGCTGCAATCCTGCAGCTTCAGCTCCATCCCTTTGTCTGTTTTCAAAACTCTTCTGATCCCATTTTTACATTGTTTGAATTGTAATTTTATTATAACAAAAATATAATGTTTATAGTATGCCATAGATTTTTTAACACACGTTAAAAACTGGTAACTCACTCTGTGTGGCAATTTATTTGTTTGTTTATTACTTACTATGTATGAGTGTTTTATCTACAGGTATGTCTATGCACCATGTGCATGCAGTACCTATGGAGGCCAAAAGAGGGCACCCAGATTCCACAGGACTGGGATTACAGCCGGTTGTGAGCTGCTATATGGGCGCTGAGAGTTGATTGTGTGATTGTTATCCCCCCCCCCATAAGAAAAAATAAAGCAGGATGCTTTTAAAATTTGCCCAGCTTCACAGACCTAATAATCACTACCTGAAATCTAGGAATTCCCAGAATCTGACCCAGTGTATGCCTCCTTCTCTTTCCCTCTTCCTCTCCATCTTCCTTCCTTTTGGTAAAGAGCTATTATAGTTTGAAGCTTGTAATAACACAATGATAAATGAATGTACTCTCAACTTAAAAAAAATCTTCAAATATTAGAGACAGGGCAAACGTCCTGCTTACCCAATCCCTACTTAGTTGCAACCCCCTACTTACCACTATGTATTCTTGCTGAGTGACTGTCTATTATTGACACTCACACAACAGGTTTTGTTTTATGTGGTTGACCTGGGTGTGTTTGTTTAAACAATAATACTCTACTGTATCTATTGCTGCCCAACAACATGCATTGAGTCCTCTGTGTGTCAATATGTTTGAATGTACCTTATTCTTTTTAACTACTAAATGTCATCCCACGTCATGAGCCTGACTACGTGTATGTAATGAATCCCCAGAGGTAAATGGCACATTTTTACCACTATAAACAAAGAAGCAGTGAAGTACTTCTCCTGGTTCAGTTCCAAGTAGTATAATTTCTGAGGCATAGCAGCCACCCTTTTTTAACAGGCCTTGCCAAGCTGCCCTACAAAACAGCTGTGTTAATTTAATCTATTTAAATACCAGCTGCAGCATTTATAATAAACCAGCTTCCCACCCCTTTGACAACACTTGATATTCCCAGGCCTTTTGATTTCTTTCAAACAATGTGGAAAACAATGTCTCAGGTTGTTGACATCTGCATTCTCCTAATTGCGGGTGATACTGAGCATCGTCTCCTCTCTATTTCCCTTCCAGGAATTGTTTGTCAGGGACCCTTGGTCCATCTGCCTTTTCTTTGCCTGATGTTTGTCTTTCTCCTACTCTACACTGGCAAATGTTTTTGCCCTGTCTGCAGCTCGCCTTTTAGCTTTGCTTTATGGCCCCTATTTTTCTCTCTCTTTTATTGAGCCTGAGAGTGGACTTTGAAAACAGGCCTAACCACAGGCGTCTCAGAAAATGCCAGTCATTCCCAGTCCTCCTACTTGCTCGCCTCTGTCCTCGCTGAAGTACTTAGCCCTCTGCTTGAGTTGCAGGTGCCTGACCATGTTGGCTGTGTTTGGAAGATACAGGCTTCTCCTTATCTCCGGGGACCAATACAGGACCTCCACATGGCAGGTACTAAAACCAACCTGAATTGTGGCCACCATTAAAAATGGTACAACTTGATCCCAAAACTGACTTTTCTGGACTCCATCATCAGGATTCAGCAGCAGCAAACTCGCTTTCTCTTTCCCAGAAGCAGAAAGCAAAACAAGACAGCAGGCTGGCTCCGTGAAATTTTAAGCATCTCTTTCAATGATGTGGCTGATGGTTTGTGTGGTTGGTACAGAACCCAGGAGACTCAGAGAAAGGAAGGCAGATGACCAGACCACAATCATTAGATCTCTGATCTCCCCTTTAGGAAGAAGGGTTTTAGTATTAAAAGAACATTTATTCTTGTTAATGAAGAATTCAAGAATTTAAAAAGCTTTTACAACTTAGACTGCCTAGGAGAAGTCAGCTCTGGTGCCCTCATCAGCCTCCTGCTGCTTGGAGTCTAGCAGCTTGCTTGTCTGAAGTGGCCAGATAACAGGCAGACAAGGGAGAAAGGGGACTTCTACAGATACCCAGCCCTGTGTAGGACAAGTCTCAGAAGACACATCACTAGGTGAGGAGAGTCACCATTCACTCAGCCCAGGGGACCTGAGTTGCTGTCTTTCTAGGCACACAGGAGTGAATCCAGCATCCCACCCTCTAAACCACATCACTTATGAACCCCAAGTAGCCATTTCTCCTCTGGCTTGAAGAATCTGCGCTCAGCCAGGTGCAGTGCCATGTGTCTGTGTCTCAATAAATAAAAGCACCCATCTGTGCTCAAATGATAATGTTTCTGAGGTTGAATGATAGATTTGTAATACTGTCCTTTCTATTTCATGTCTATATGACATTTTCTATCATAAAAAAAAAAACAAAATAAAAAAAAAAACTGCCTAGCAATGCAGGGAGCTGGTGACTTCCTGTAAATTATATTCCTTCTGTGGACATTCTGTTGGGAAGTCCCTCCCTTCACTGTTCCACTACCTTCCTGTGACTCTGGTCTTCTGAGAGGCCTTCAAAAGCTCCATCATGATCACGGCTGTGTGGTCCAGAGTGTGTTGTTCTAACCTCCCTGAACTTCCTGCTCCTCACCTGCACAGTGGTGACAGTCACACTCATAAAGCTGTTGGGAAAGACGGATGAGGTCATGTCCTCAGCCCGACACCTGGCACCTGAAGTGCTCGTTGTTTTCTTGGCACCATCTTCCTTCCCCCAAGGGCCACACAGGACAGGTCTCCACCTTTGCGCTGGGGCAGACCTTCATCAGATGAAGATGAAGTGATGCTGTGTAGGCACATGCTCAGCATGCACGAGGCCCCGGGTCCTGTCACCAGGACCAAATGGCAAGAACATAATAACAATAATAATGCTTTGCCCACTAAAGTGACAGTAACTAGAATTAAGTGAAATTATGTAAAAAATTAGAAACTATATCCAGCTGGAGCTGGTGGCACAGGATTATAATTCCAGCTACTTAGAAGACTGGAGGATCCTAAGTTCTTTGCAGCCTGCCTGAGCTATTGTGAGTTCAAGGCCACCCCGGGCAATTTACCAAATCACTAATAAAAAAGCAAAAAGAAAAAAACGAGAACTGGGGCATAGAGTGCTCACCTAGAGCATGTGAGGTAAGTCCTGGGTTTGCTTGGAAGTAGAGGCAGGAGGATCAGGAGTTCAAGACAAGCCTTAGCTGTTTAAAGAGTGTAAGGCCAACCTGAGCTACATAAGACTGAGTCTCCAAAAATAAAAAGAAAAGAAGAAAAAAAAAAACCTATACCTACAGCCAGCATGATGGTTCCGTGGGTAAAAGTGCTTGCCACATAGGTCTAACCACCTGAGTTCCATCCCCAGAACGTAGAATGGAAGAAGAGAACACAGACACACAGACACACACACACACACACACACACACACACACACACAGGGGGAGAGAGAATAATACATTAAATTTAAAACACTCAAATCCAGTTTCCTCTGCTTGGCACCTTGTCCAATTACAGCTGGTACCATACAAAGGAAGGTATATGAGATCCTCTCTACTAAGTCCCAAGGGAAAAACAAAACTCACTTTCTCCTCTGGCTGTCCACAGGTAATAAAATAGATGTGCAAGCAGAGGCAGTTTGAGTCTTCACTGCACATTTATCCCAGACAAAATGTACACAAAACACAGGTGACCATACATGATACTTTGTTCTGAGGAGCAAGGCACTATGCCCATGCCAGGACAACCTGACCCTGGTCCAAGAGCCCTTTACAACCCTGTTCTTGGTCGGTTAAGTGACCACAGTATGAGATCATTACCCATACCCAGCATACCTTGACTTGTTTTCCAAAATAGGATGCCATGCATTTGTCCTGACACTCCGATGGCCCCAACTCTCTGCAGCTGCTGCCGGGGAAGGGCATCCAGGCACTCATTTAGGGCTTGTATGATTGTAGTCACATCCTGCTCCCGCCCCTGGAAACAGAACAGGAGAGGGTGGGCATGAGCAAACAGACAGAACAAGGAAGGGGGGCCTCCAAAGATCTCCTAAAGAGAGGACTCAGTCCCCAAGAACCATTGCCAAGACATGGAACTGAAGGATCTGGTTAGCTCCACCTAGGCCTGGCCTGAGGCTGTCCATCAAAGGCCCGCTCCCCACCCCCTGAGACTGTCCATCAAAGGCCCACTCCCCACCAGGGAGAAAGTACAACCGCTCGGACAGTTCAGCAATACACCAGGCTCTGCTGAGAAAACCCGTTCCGCAATCAGCAGGAGAAGTAAGGAGAGGGTCTACTCACAAGGATGTGGAAGGGTGGGACCGCTGCAGAGGGGAGACCTGGCTGTGCAGAGGCAGATGAAATCCCCCTCCCACCCCTCCATTCCAGATTGGCTGGAATGAATGACTGGAGACAGATTCAATGGGAGAAAAAGAAAATCGATTTATTAACAGGGAACAGTGATATCCTTTAGAACATGGCAATTTGGAATATGCTAAGCAAGTTGATCTCAATGGGAGGCCTTAAAAGCAAGCTTAGATTCAAGCCCCTCTAACACTAAATTTCAATAGGCTAAAAAGGCCTCACAAAGGTCACCTGCCCATGAAATCTAGATGTCTCATTGTTTCTCAATGGATAAATTAACTTTCAAAGTGGAAAGAATTACATATACTCACATTTAAAAGAATCGTACCTACACTACTATGTTACTCCAGAGTCTTTTGGGATACTTAATATCTGAAGTAAATTGATTACATTTGAAAGAATTTTGGGGCCGGGGACTCCATTCAGCCATAGAGTGCTTACCTAGCAAGTGCAAGGTCCTGGATTTGATCCCCAGGATGAAAAAGAAGGGGGTCTGGGAGTGGTACAAACCTTTAATCCCAGCACTTGGGAGGCAGAAGTAAGCGAATCTCTGAGTTTGAGGCCAGTCTGGTCTACAGAGTGAGTTCCAAGACTGGTTCCAAAGCTACAGAGAAACCCTGTCTCTGTAACCAAGTGGGGGGGGGGAGTAGAGAGAGAGATGGCTAAACAGAAAGGAAGGAAGGGGAGTGGAGAGAAGGGGAGGGGAGGGAATTACACTGAGCTCAAAGCCTCAAATGCAAACCAGGACGCTATGGAGCTTACTTCTTACATGAACATCTTCACAGCACATGAACATACCTGTCTTACTGTCTAGCCAGCACTGGCCCATCACCAGCTCTTGTCCTTCCCTATAGGATTCTTCACTGCTCCATCCTACTTGCCTACTGGAACTTCCACTTTTCTTCAGTATTTGAATATGGATTCAGAGCAAGCTTAACCCTGGGCTTTCCAAATCGCAAGTCCAAAATCCCCAAATAAAGTCCTTTTACTTTTGTGCATTCTGGGGTTTGTTCCTATCTTCCCTTGTGTGTGTGTACCTAAGCAAGAAAGTAGAATGAGTATATAACTACAGTTAAAACATCTAAGAGGAGCTGGAGAGATGGCTCAGTGGTTAAGAGCACTGGCTGCTCTTCAAAGGTCCTCACTTCAATTCCCAGCACCCACACAGTCTGTAACTCCAGTCCCAGGGGATCTGATACCTTCTTCTAGCCTCCACAGGTACCGGGGATACATGTAGTGCACATACATTCAGGCAAAACATCCATACACATAAAATAATTAAATTATCTTGAAAAAAAGTTCTAGGGTGGTAGGATGTAAGCCAGCAATAGAGCATTTGTCCAGCATTCCCAAGACACTAGACTCAATACTTAGAGAGAGAGAAATGGAGATGGGAGGGATCTTTTAATAAATAAACAAACATCTGAAATATTACTTTAGCTAAAATAAAACTATGTATTATTTAAAGGCCATCAGAAGTTATCAAAATGGCATACTTTGCTGTGTCTAGGATCTAATCCATACTTCAAAGATGTAAGGCAAGGGCTAGCTGTGACATTATAGCCTAGCCCCACCCCCGTCCTTCATTTTGTTTGGGAATTTTTGTTGTTGTTGTTAGTTCTTTTTTCATTTACTTATTTGTGTGTGTACTAAGAGGAGAGCACATAGGCCACGGAATGCATATGGGGGGTCGGAAGACATTTTGCAGAAATTGGTTCTCTCTCATCATGTGGATTCTGGAGATATAATTCATTAAGCTTGGCAGAAGGCACCTTTGTCTTTTGAGCTATCACAATAGCCCTAAATATTTGTTTGTTGTTTTAGTTTTATGTTCTCAATGTCTCTTGATAATGAAACAAACTTTACAAGTTAAAATTTAAAACTTAGCAAGTTCTGGGAAAACCAGGGCTTCACAGAGAAACTCTGTCTCAAAAAGACAAAAAGAAAAAGAAAAAAGAACAACTCAGGTTATGAACTGGAGACACATAACTAAGCAATTAAGAGTATTTGATGCTTTGCCAAAAGACCAGGGTTCAGTTCCCAGCACCCACATCAAATGGCTCAAACTGCCTGTAACTCCAATTCCAGGGGATGCAACACCCTCTTCCGTCCTTTTAAGACACTATAAACACACACTCAAGCACAGACACATAAGGAAATAAATAAATCCTTTTTAAGAACTAGAATTCTAAGTTTCATAAACTGAAAATGTATTTTGATCTCATCAAAAATAAGGTATTTGGGAACACGAAAATCACATCAAATACAAAATAAATTAGCCTTTAACAACTAGAAAGGTCCATGGAAAGCTCAGAGAAGGGAAAGAAGAATGTAGCTCAGAAATAAATGCCATTCTCTGCAGTGTGAAAAGCTTATGGGCTGAAGAAAACATGAGAAGGTTGAGTCTTTGGCTTTTTGGTTGCCTCTGGGGAGTGCATCTGTCGTCCTTGGCCTAACCAGCAACAAAGGAGGGTGTGTAAGGGAGAGCTGGGGAATGAGTGCATGGAGTGTAGAGCATATTCTAAACATGCAATCACAGCCTAACAAGGAGCCTTCCACTGTGCCAGCCATGAAAGTGCCCATCAGCTAGAGAGACACGGGGGGGGGGGGGTTGTACAGAGCTCAGTGTGTGATCTCCACAGAGAAAGACAGGGAGGGCACAGGGGTGAATGGGACATTTGTTTAGGACACTGTCCAATGTGGCAGCCACTAGCCATATGTGTCCCGTCTGAACTGCAACGTTGCATATGTACAAGTTACATCTGAGGGCTGGGGAGATGGATGGATTAGTCAGTCAAGTGCTCGCTTTGCAAGCATAGGACCTGAGATTAATCCCTGGAACTTGTGCTTTTGAAAGTCTGGTGCTATGATGTGTACTTGTAATCCTAGCACAGGGGAGGCAGTTTAAATGATATCTCATATGTGTTAGGTTAAAGAAAATACATGATAAAAATTAATTTTATCCCAGTACTCAGAAAGCAAAAGCAGGTAGATCTCTGTTATGTAAGTTCCTAGCCTGCCAGGTCTACATAGAAATTAAATTAATTTCATCCATTCCTTTTCCTTCCTTTAAAACAGTTACTCAAAAACTGAAAATGGCATGTGTAGCCCATATTTGTGACTTGCATTTCTGTTAGACAGTGGCAGTTCAAAAGTCCCCAAATGGCCATCAGAGGGTACACCATTCAGAACAGAGGGGCCTCTGTCTAAAATGGGTCCAGGGTGAGTGGATTGTGTGGGTGGAGACCATGGAGGACAACAAGCCCACTGGGAGTAAAGACAAGGAGGCTGTGTTTGGCGGTTCATTTTAGGGCTGAGTGTGACCAGGGGCAGTCCTGGGACAATGGACACACCCATACTGTAACAGGAAAGACATTGTTACTACTCTTTCTTGGTTCAAAATATCAGTGGGTCTAAACCCAGATCAAGATCTAGAACTTCAGACTTGAAAGGAGTGATGAGCAACTCACTCAAACCCACCCCTCCCTCTGTACCCTTCTGGCGGAGCCAGAGATGACAGACAACTGACAGAGATTCCCTCCAGAACCTTGTATTTTAGCTGCATGGGGTGGAACACACCTGGACTCTCAGCACGTAGGAGGCTAAATAAGGAAGATCCATGTTTGAGGCCAACAAGCCCCTATCTCCTAACAGAGGAGGGGGCTCAATTTCATGAGAAGGGCAGGGCCTGAACCCACTGTACTATAACCCTGGCCTAGCTCCTCACTCCTCCAAAATCAGAGCCAACTTCTCCATGTCATAATTCATGAAGTCAAATAATCATTCTAGTATGCCCTGCGGCCCCAACTGAATTAAATGCGAAGGCCTCTGGGAAAATTAGAAGTGTCCCTGCAATCTTTATCTTCTGAAACATGCCCCAGCAAGATGGATTCTGAAGCCCAAAGAACTGAACATAGACCCTTGGCAAGAGCTTGAGACACAAAGCTCAAGAGTGGGGCACTGCACTCAGTCCAAGGTCCTGGATGGAAGAAGACTTAATGGTCACCTAGTTCCGAGGAGGGAACAAGCTGAGGCCCCCAAAAATGTGAGATGTTACACTCTGCCTTGACATTAAGTTCTGTAAATTCTCTGACTATAAACCGATCTTTTTCAGGAAACTGACAGGAGTGGAGTCTGAGGCTTGATGTCCATTCTCAGCCTACTTACATCATCTCTCAACAGAGTCCCCTGTCCTTAATTCTTAGGATTTTACATATATGTATGTGTGTGTCTATATGTATATAGACACACTATACATATACATATATATATATGTATATTACATATGTATGTAAACGTGTGTGTGTGTGTGTGTGTGTGTGTGTGTGTGTGTGTGTCTGTACAGACTCGAGCATGTGGTAGGGTACATGTGGCTGTCAGAGGAAAGTTTTTCAGAAGTCAATTTTGTTGTTGTTGTTTTTGTTTTTCCAAACAGGGTTTCTCTAGCTTTGAAGCCTGTTCTGAAACTCACTCTTGTAGACCAGGGTGGCCTTGAACTCACAGAGATCTTCCTGCCTCTGCCTCCCCAGTGCTGGGATTAAAGGCGTGCACCACCACTGACCGTCCAGAAGTCAGTTCTTTCCCTCCATGGTTCTGAAGATGGAATTCAGGTCATCAGGCTTGCTTAGCAATTGCTTTTACATGCTGAGCCATGCTCTGAACCCCTGAATGTGTACTTTTCTATCTTCTAGTTTTCAAAAGTTACTGGTTGTAGTATATAATTACCAGTCTGATCATTTTTTTAAATGTTAATCAACTTATCTCAGTGTCTTCCTACTTGCTCTGACAATATTCCTCCAGAGACTCGCGTCGGGGCTGGAATTGTTTGAGTAACCAAGTGAAATTTTCTGTCCACTTTCGCTTCTACGGAGTGAGAAGAGCCTAATTCTGCATCTGATTTCCAGAGGCCAAGGGGTAAAAAACGAAGCCTGAACTTGAGGGCACAGAGCAGATATGAGACAGGAACAACAAGCGTGATAGTCAGACCTGTGGATATCACTCTGAAAGAGAGTCCTCTCAGGTCAAAGTACGGAAAATGGTGGTAGAAAGTAGAGGGATCCAGCACCATGAGCAGGGCCACCAGAGAAGCCTGAAAGTGGCAAGATCTGTGCCCCGCAGGTGGGAAAAGCTCCCTGGGAAAATCTAACGGCTTAGCCTGAGTTGCAGCAGACTTCGAGGCCCTGGAGGAAAGGGCAGAGGGCGGAGGGCGGACAGGCTAGACAGTTCTGAGGGGTACTTCTTCGCGGAAAAGTGCTGCCCGGGATGCCACCAGTGTCGTCCGTGGGTGGCGGCTCCAGGACCCTGCCTCACCTGGGACCCGGCTGCCGTGCTCTGTGTCTCTGCCCCCGCTGCGCGGACGCAGCTCGCCAGCACCACGAACCCGGATGGGTGGCCGGGTGCAGCCTCCAAAAGGGCGACCTTCACGGACGTGGTGCCCAAGTCGATGCCCAGGGTGACGGGTCGCGAAGCCATGGCAGCAGTGACAGCGAAGCTCGGGTGGCTCGAGCGGCGCGCTAGCGACCGCACACTTCACAGGAGAGGGCATCGTGGGGCGGGGCTTCCCTGCCAATCTTTTAGCCGCACGCAACATGGCGACTTCTTGTCTTCCTATTGGTCGACAAAGGCAGACGCCCACACACAGTGACCCCCGGCTATAGGTGGAGAGGCGACAGAAGGCGGGACCTTTTGGTCTGAGGTTCCCCGATAGTGGGACGCGTCCGAGAATCTTCACCAAGAAGCACCCGGTTTCTCCGAGACCATAGAGGCTCCGAGAGCCCTGCTGCCCTTACAAGTGACTACATCCCCCTCACATCCAAGCCCCCGTCTCTGCCAAGTCAACCCTACTCAGCTTTTTCCGGCTATGACTCGTGAAAACTACAACTTCCAGAGGTCTTCGCGCGGATTTGTCCGCTCCGTAAGTCAGGTGGTTCGGGTCAGATGACAGCTGGCCCCGCCTTCACACAAAGTCAGCGGAGCCCACGGAGTCCCTAACATTCTGAAGCGCTTCTGGCGGGAGACTGCTGCTTTCGGTGAGGTCGGTCCACTGAGCCTTGAAGGCTGTCAGGTGAGAATGATCGCGGTCTGGACAGCCTCCCCTTTTCCCGATAGGACACCACCGACCCCAGCAGACAACAGCCCGGCACCAGGGGGGCAGTCTGCCGCGAATCCAGCCTCATTCAGCAGCGCCTGGGTTTCTATCCTCTGGCTCCAACCCTCAGGCCTGAACAACCCCAGATTGAAGGGCCAGGGTATTAGTGAGCCAAAGCAATGATACCAGCTGCCAGCCAGGGTTGGTGGCACTATTCGAATACAATTGGAACCCCTTGCTTGCATCCTCTGGTGCCCTCTGAATATGGCTTGGGAATGTGATGGTGGCTTTGGTGGGGGGGGGGGTGGTTAGGACCGCTGACAGGACCGCTCCAGAAGCTCTTGCTGATTCGCCCAAAGGTAGAGAGAACACCTGAGTCTTGTCTTTTTAATAATATTGAGGAAAAGAATCATTTATGCTTTGTGAGAGCTAGCTGGAAGCCCTGGGTGGTAGTAGTAATAACATTACATCATTGTTTCTCAACTTTTTTATCTTATCAGTCCACCTCCTTAAAAATTTTAATACGGCTGATAAGCTCTATTTTTATATTGTGGCCTTTGGGGGAGCCACAAACAGTGATTACAGATTGTTTTCAGACCCCGAGAGCCTATTTTAGCCCCCTTTGAGAATGCATGGCTTAAATTTCACCTCACTTTAATTCTGTGATGCAGTTACCACTGTCCCTGTTTCCCCATTAGGGAGCATAGAAAGAAGTATTCCAAAGTCATGCATTAAGTAAATGGGAACCTGAGACCTAGACAGTCCGTCTCTGGGGAGCATATTCCTTGTCCAAACTACGTTATCCTTTAAGGAAGTTCCAGGTTATGGACCAAGATCAGGACTACCTCAGACACCTGACAAAGGGAAGCTGCTGCAGGGGATCTTTGATTCCAGGTTGCTCTTGAGTGGGGATGGTAGAGGCTCCTAAAAGTACTAGGGCCTGGAAGATGGTTAGAATACACACACCAGAAGGTGGTCATGGCAAGTTCTTTGTCTTGTAACTTTTTACAAGCCTACTTGTGTGGTTAACCAATCTGATTATTTTAGCATTGTGGTTATCTTGTCAATTCTTTTTCCATCTGTTCTGGGGTTTTCCTTCCTGCTGTCTTAGCCTTTAGTATTGCGGGACTTTTTTTTTTTTTTTTTTTTCTGACAGAGTGTTTGAATTTCATAGTATGTATCTGCTTCAGTGAAACTAAAGAAGAAAAAAAGTTAAAGAAAAGAACACTCTGCTAATGACCCTCCGTTGGTTTGACACTCCGTTGGTTTTTTGTTTGTTTATTTGTGTATTTGTTTTTCCATTAACTAGGTTGAAGAGAGCAGTTGAGCAAAGGTACGGGTCTGTGCTCACTTCCTCAGAGTAGGATTTTTGCACAATCCACTTAGCTGCTCTGAGCAGGTTTGCCCATCACATGAAACAAAAATAAGTCCTCTCTGGGGTCTCCAGACCCCAGATGCCAAGCCTGTGAGGTCAGAGGTCACAGAGCCTGTGAAATACAAGCCCTTTATGAACTGTCCCACCCCATGGCTCAGGTAACATGTTGACCACCAACAGCTGAACTAATTCAACCTTAACATGCCTCTCTCTTGTTTGTTTGGTTTTTATTTTCCTAGTTCTGAGATGTCAAAGAACATGATGAGGAATTGGCTGCCTATTTTGACCCTTTTCCTCTTGAAGTTCATAGAGAAATGTGGTAAGTTTTAAGAGTGACTTCCCAGCTTTATAAAAAGGGAAATAGTGGAAAGAGTTAACTTCTTTGTCACCAAAGGTTTAGTGCTGTTCAGGCTACCTATGGTCAGCCTCCCACTCAGAGACATTTTACAAAGAGCCAGATGGTCCCCAAATGTAATTGGCCTTTTACTGTGGGGTCCCTCTTGCCTTCTCTATATCAGCACAGGTAACCGTTGGTTCTTTAGTCAGACTGTATGACTGGCTCTCAGAGCCTTACCAAGCTGAGATAGTATCTGTAAAGAATACCCTGTGCTTCGGCCCTCTGGACCTTGCAAAGAGAGTTATGGGTCCTGGGAGACACTAAGAAGGCCTTGTACCTGGTTCTCCCAAGCACAGATGCAAGACAAGTCTACCTGGCCCCACCTTTCCCTTGGAGAAGAGAGAAGAGTGGAGTTGGTTACAGCATGCTGAGCCACACAGAAAGCATCACACTGGTGGGGTTTACACATCCTGTCAGTGGACTCCTTCAAATGCAGTTGTCGTCCTTGGAATATCTAAGACCTTTATGTAACTCCTTCTTTTGTGACTAGCTTTGTTTAGTATTCACAGTGCCCAGGCCCAATTTAATCATTAGGTAGGTCTTTACTCCAAAGCAAATGTATCTTAAAGTCCCTGAAAATTTCCAGAAGCCTGGGGCAAACACTAGAAATCCTACACATTCCCTAAAGTTACACACACACTCTACATCTTTATGGCCAGAGAACTGGTCATCTGATCAGCTCATGTTCCTTTGCAGTTACACCTTATGGAGAAGGGAGCTCTGGGGGGAAAGGCTGGGCAGAGGGGGGGCTCAGACCATGAGGCCTGCTCATGCCACCTTTCTCCAGAGGGATGCCACAGCCATACTTCAGCCCTACTGAGTCAACCCTGGGAAGTGAGCGCATGTGGTTGTGGATGCATGTGTGCAGGAGATAATGGAAATTCTTGCTAGTACTCCAACTACACCAAGGGTAAACTGAGACCCAGGCAGGGTAGAAAGCTTCACAGATAAAGCTGGGACTGGAATAGGGCCTCCGTTCCATTTGTCTCTTTCTCCTGACCCACTCTATGAAGGAGCAATGGAAGCTACCACAAAATTGAGAACCTGGAATTGGATTGGCTCTCAGCCTCATTCTGCTGGACTTCTGTTTGGGGTGTCCGCATCAAGGATGACACAAGAACAGAAGGCCTCCAGAGTGTGTCACTTCTGACTTCTCTGAGTGGAGTCTGTGGCAGTGCAGCCTAGTGGTAACAACCTTTGAATCCTTGTTCGATCGTTTCTAACTATGTGGACAAGGCTCCTTTCCTCCTGGAGGGAGTTTCTTTGACTTAAAATAGGACTGAAAATGCCTGCTGCCTATTGTGATAATTATAAAATAGGGGTGACAAGAACAACAGAAATGGTGCCATACCTGCATCCTAGCACTCAGGAACTAGAGGGAAAGATGAGTAGTGTAAATAAAATGCCAACAGCGATGGCTGGGATGAGTTAGGATGCAGGGTGATCCCAGCTGATAGCAGTGGCTCATCTATAATAAGGCCTACACAGGTCATGGGACAAAATTAATCAAAAGGTGCTTGAACAACTTGAGACCCTATCTCAAAGTTAAAATGTAAAAACATAAGAAGAGCTAAATGTGGAGCCCAGTGGAGATCACTTGTGCTGCATGTACAAGGACCTGCATCCAATCCCCAGTGTGAAAAAAGAGGGGGGGGAGGAAGCAAGGTGGTCTCTGCATGACTCATGCTCTTCCCAGCTGCCTCCTATCTTAGCCTAACAATGCCCTGCAGTTGTAAAGAGATGGAAGTAGTAGAAGCTAACACAGTTTAGGATTGAGACCATGCAGAAAGTAGAAACATACTGCTAATCATTCTGCATTTTACCTGTGATTTAGGTCTTATTCAGCCCATTTTACAGGTGAGGCTCAACAGTGAAGTTCTATGGGTCACGCAGCCAGCAAGTGTCAAAGCCAGGATGGAACTATGTGACTTCAGAGCCTAGAATCTCATTTGCTTGGGCACCAATGTTTGCCGTAGTGCTGAGGAGGATTTACACACTCTCTGATCTGGGTCTTTGAAAGCTCCCATCTTCCTACTTTGATATATAAAGACAGAAAGTCTAACTCCATGACATCCTTTTAAGTGCCTACACATACAAACAACATGTATGTGCCTGCCCTGAACAGTGGCTTGCTCTGGGTCTTACTTATCTGATCTAGTCCTGAGCAGTAAATAAAATTTCACAGGCTGGGATAAGTAAACCCTGCACTCCCTTAGCTGAGCAAGCCTACAACAGAGCCTCAGACTGACAGCCCAGCAGGCAGGACAGAGTTGTCATAGCAGGAAGGAAAGTGTTGGCAAAACAGCCTGAAGACCCTGGGTGCACAGCAGCTGTTCTGACCTGAAGAATCCACTCGGGTAAGGGGACTAGAAACTGTAAACTATGAAGAATCACATCTGGGAGATTTGTGCGTTGGGGACAGCCACCATCTGCACTTATACATGGCAGATGTGGCAGAGCCAGGCCCAGAAGTGTGAGTTCCTTGGGAGATAAGGTGACTCTCCCAGGAAGTGTCCATGCAGGGGACCTGCCAAGGGGAGAACCAACTGAGGAAGTTGGGAGTGGTAACACAAGTTCTTTCCAATCTGCTCTAATACACAGCTCCTAGTTCTTTGTCTTCTGCCATGGAGGGTTCTGGGTAGACACCTGCACCTTCTACCCCTGTGAGAGCCAACTTCCCCAGATGGAACACTTCTCTGCTGCCTAAGATACTCTTCCCTCTCTTAGTCTGGATCCCTGATCATGGCTTCTAGGATGTGCCTCTTGTTGAAGCCTGGGAAGTAAGGGAGTTGAGATGGGCGGGTATACCATGAAACTTTGAGTACACCTAGGCTTAACACAGTGGCGGGGTGGTGGGCTGTCCAAAGAATACAGGAACAACTCAAGCTAGCCAGCCATTCCCTGTGACCACAGTATGCTGGGTTATTTGATCTCCCAAAATGATCTTCCCTTTTTCTCTTGGTTTTCTTGTTTGTTTGGTTTGGTTTTTGGTTTTTCGAGACAGGTTCTCTCTGTGTAACTTTGGAGCCTGTCTTTGAACTCGCTCTGTAGACCAGGCTGGCCTTGAACTCACAGACATCTGCCTGCCTCTGCCTCCTGAGTGCTGGGATTAAAGGTGTGCACCACTGCCTAGCGTTGTTTTGTTTTTTGATGCTAGAAATTGGATTCAGGATCTTATACTTACTAATCATACATTCTACCTCTGAGCTATACTCACAGCCTAACCCTCAACCAAACATGACTTTCTAAGACCCAAGCCAGCTTCCTGCTTCACCGCAGGGGACTGTTTATCTACCTTCTCCTCAGCACGATGACGCCAGGAAAGAAGCCTGTTGACCAGGCCTTGTGCCTGTCTCAGAATCCAGGAATGAGACAGACCAGTTTTTCAGAGGAGACCCCTGTGCTGTCCATCTGCAGAGGTGGTTCCAGTCCACCCTTTACAATCACAAATGTTGGTTTGAATTTCTTTTTTATAACTTTTGGGCTCTGTAGTTCCCAGACTGTTTCTGGGGAACTCAGCTAGCCTGCAGAGGAGAAGGAAGTCCCAGCACTTCCTGCTCTAAACCATGTGGCAGTCTGGCCCTGGTGCAGAGATGGGAAGAGCCTAATGTAAGTCTGGAAGTACACAGACTAAGCAGGACTATCAGTGGGTCAGGGCTCATGAGTTCAGATGGCAGGAGTCTGGTGCCCACCCCTCCTTGTGGGCTGAGCTCTCTGCCCCGGTGACTCATGTCATTGGCTTGGGTCTTTCCAGAGTCAACTGTCAATCTCACTGTTCCTCCCACTGTGAAGCTGGAAAATGGCAGTTCAACCAACGTCAGCATCACCCTTGGGTAAGTTCTTAGGCCCAGTTCTGTCCCCAGCCCCACTCTGGCACAGTCTGCATGAATTTCCAATGTGATGCTCTTGCCTCTTTGTTGTAGGACATAAAAAGAATGGTGCAAGCCAAGGACTGCAGAGCAGGGTCCCCACATCACCCACAGAGTCCTTATCTCCACTTTTCCCTAGAAACATGAGTGTTTTCCTCTAGCAAGAAGAGTGGTGGTCACGGGTGATGCCAGACTTCAAGGCCCTTTTTAAGAGTAAATATTTGAGCAGAGCCCTAAAATTCAAGGGGCAAGGAACTAAACCACTGAGCAACACAGCACAACTGTGGTCATTTGCCAAAGCAGAAGTGACAGTATCAAGGATTCCCACATGTCCTGCTCACACTTTGCCTTTGTCTAAGAGTCTTCCTTAAAGACACCTACAGGTTTGGCATGAAGGTCCTGACCTGGTTCCCCCTCTGCCAGAAGATAGTCCTCTAGCTCTGTGGCTTTACCACGCCTATGGCTCCCAGCTGAGATAATGCCCTTTACTCCCTGCCTGCCCTTCAAAGTCTGATCTCAAACCAAAGCTTTGGTCCCCAGGCCTCCTCACAAGCCTGCTGCTCTGTCCTCTGTACCTTCATACCCACATCATGTAAACCATCCAGGTTATCTCCCCTCTCTGGAATCCTTAAATGGCTTGCCACATTTGAAGCTCCCATGAATTGCTTCCAAAGGGCTTCACCTCACACAGTCCCCACTGACCTTCACACCACACCCTGCTCAGATCCGAGCCCTACCCAAGGAGCCTTTCCCACTGGGGCAGAGAGCCATTGGCCTGTCCCCTCTATTTGCCCCCATTAGTCACAGCCAGAATTCCACCTTCTTGTGTTCTCATCCTATCCAAAAGGAACATCTAGTCTCCTGATAAAGCAGGAACATGGTTCCTTCCACCTCTTATCTCTCTGAGTTTGAGGGCAAATATCTAGGAAAAGGTATTAATCTCTTATAGAAATAAATGAGAGGAAAGCATAATATCATGGAAAAGAAGTCAAACAAAAAATCTCTGGGCTGTCAGATTCTTTGTGTATAAAATATAAAATCAGTGATATCAGCCAATGGTTATTCTTCTGGTCAGGAAACTAGAGGGGAGAACAACAGGGCTTCTGGGATTTTGGAAATGCTCATTTCTTGATCTGGGGTATGTGTACAGTCTGAGCACACTGCCCTTCCTGATCCTGAGTTCCAGATAAAGGAAAGCCTGTGTAAAATCCAGAGGGTTGATGGATATCTTACAGGGTCCAATCTCCCAACAATAACCAAACTCTTATCCTCCTAGGCATCCATTGAATTCAACCTTGGTGATCACTTTTGAAATCACGTTTCATTCAAAAAATCTTACTATTCTGGAGCTTCCTGATGAAGTAAGTAACAGACCTTGCTAATGCTTAAGGAGATGCTAGGCATCGGAACACATTTTAGTTTGGAGCTTGTGGGGAAAAGTCACCTAGCTCCCGCTCCTCCACCCTCTGCGTTCCATCCTAGAGATATACAGTTGGGCTTTGCTGGTCTCTTTAAGGATGTTTTCTGCTGTGTAGTTTGAGTAAAAGGATTCACAATATGAAGACAAGTCAGGATGAACAGCTTAGCTTCCAGGGCTTCACTCCTACAGCCTAACTGGGGCTAATAATAATAAGGTATGGTGCACAGGCAGGTGCCCAAAAAAAAAAAAAAGCCTGAGGCAAAGGTGGTTCTGAGAATGGAGAAGTTCTAAAGGTACTTTAAGGCCCTACCACATCTTTGGATGGGAAGTATCGGCCTTGCTCTAAAACATTTTAGGAAATGGGGTTCGCGATGTATAGAATGTTTACCTAGCATACATGATGCTTCAGGTTCACTCCCTGCTACCACCATACACCCATACACACGTGCACACACAAACAAACACACACACACATGCAAAGGAAGGAAGAAAAAAGAGAAAGTGTGTGTGTGTGAAAGAGAGAGAGAGACTAGACTGACTTTGTAATTTGTGTTTCTATAGAATCTCTGGCCCTATCCCAGACCTACTGTTAACAGAGTCTGAGGATGGTTTGTGAAGCACCATTCTGAGACATTGTTGGTGGCTGGGTGTCCATCCAGAACTCTGTCTCTAAGGCTTTCTGGTGTAACAATAATGAGCATCCATAGTTTTCATGTTCTATTTTCCTGCTTCTACCTTGCCAATTGTATGAATCAGTTGTCATTCGGCTAGATAAAAGACTTCAAAAGGGAAGCAGCAACTCCAAACAAACTCAAAAAAAAAAAAAAAACAAGCAAATTGTGGGCCTATAATCTCAGCTATCTAAGAGACTGAGGCAGGAGGATCACAAGTTCAAGGCCTGCCTGAGCTACAGAACAACTTCATAGCCAGCCTGGGAAAACAGTAATACCTGTCCCAAAATGAAACATGAGGAAATAAAAAGCTGTAGTTAAAACGGAGTGGTACAGCTGGACGTGATGGCACATACCTTGATTCCAGCACTTGGGAGATAGAGACAAACAGATCTCTGGGAGTTTGAGGCTAGCCTGATTTCCATTGCAAGTTCTAGGACAGCCACAACTACCTAGAAAGAGCCTGTCTCCAAAAAAAAAAAAAAAAAAAAAAAAAAAAAAAAAACTCAGTTATGGAGCATTATGGAGCATTTGGTAACATGCAGGAGGCACTGGTTCAGTCCCCAGTACTGAAAGAAAAGAAAAAAAAGCTTAATGCCAGTCAGTCCCACAGTCAGAATGACTAAATCTGAAGGTCATAGTGACTATTATTAACAATGTAGTAAATTATGTATCAAATAATAGTATCTGGTTGAGGAAGTACCATACATAGGACAGTGGTTCCTAATGTTATGTTGCCCAATGGTGTCATAACCACCTTTATTTGTATACATACTATTACAGTGTTCACATGACTATGAAATTGCCTAATTTCTTAAATTAAATCCTGATGTTAAAGGACATGTGACTATACTTGAAAACTGCTAAGAGACTAGATCTTTAATGTTCCCACCCCCCCAACAAAAGAATGTTAAGGAAGTAAGGTAGTGGATATGTTAATTAGCTTAATTTAACAATATTGCGATTAATACCTATAGTAAAGCATCACACTTTATCATATACAATTTTTATTTGTCCATCATAATAACAAAGGTGAGGAGGGGCCACGAGAAAAAAAATGCAGGGACAACTTTGATGTTCAAAAGACCCTGGGGTGATTGTGGAAATGGGCTACAAACCAATTCTGAGCTCCTCACCAAGCAAACAGCAATGAGGGGCATTCAGAGTGTCCCACAAAAGAGACGCTCTGTCAGAGGTGGCTCTTACATCCTTATCTCCATGGGTAGCATTGTACAGTATTAATCAATACACAGTCAAACACACACACACACACACACACACACACACACACACACACACACACACACACACACACACACACACGGGGCCTGCAGACAGAGGCCAGTGAAAGACAGTCCTAACAGCAAGTCTGGTGCAAGGCCTCTAAGCTTTGTTTGATCTGCAGGTCACATGTAGACAAAGGAACAGATACTAATCTGTTTAGTTTAGATGTAGACATCAAAGTAAAAGTATCCTCTTGTAAAAATAAAGTGAAGAATGTTGGGCAAAAGAAGCCCAACACACAAAATGGGCTTTGGGGTTCCTTGAATTAAAAAAAAAAAAACAAAAACAAAAACAATGAATCCATGGTGTCAGGCCCATAGTTATCCTCAGTTTCGAAACTGAGATTGGGGAGCAGAATGGAGCTTCTGGGGTGTTGAAAATTCTCATCGCTTGATCTGGAGGCTGAACATATGTGGTGTGTAGAGATGATGCTTCGTCAAGCTTGGTGCATGTACTTTTCTGTGTATGTATTTTAGATCAGGTTTTTTGTTTTGTTTTGTTTGTTTATTATTATTATTAGCAGTGGGAGTCAAAACCAAACCATTTTTGGAAGATGGTCTTTATGAATACCTGAACCCACCTTCTGAGGCTCCTACATCATTGGCCCCTTGCATTCCTGTCCTGTACCTGTGGTATAAGAAGTTAGTGGTTAGAACCTGGAAGTCAGGTGGTCTAGGAATTCAGCCTGGAAGTGTTGGGTCAGGAACTTCAGCCAGCCTGGTTTCCTCATTTATAGGCACAGGGTTCATCATGTCTCCTGGACCACACTGTGGGTATTAAAAGCAATAGAAGAAAGTATAAAACTGCTGGCATTCACCTGGCAGGGCCTCAAGTCTTCAGTAAAAAGCCCCTGCTAGCGCTGCAGCCCTTCTCTTGGGAGCTAAAAGCAGGGTGATCTCAAAGTCTAGGCCAGATTGTGCTGTGTTAGCAAAACCCTGATAGGGGAGGAACCAGGTGTGATGGCTTATGTCTGTAATCCCAGCACTCAAGAGACTGAAGCAGGGGGGTTTCTGAGTTTGAGGCCATCTGGGGCTACATAGTGAGTTGCAGGCCAGGCAGAGCTACACAGTAAGACTCTGTCTTAGAAAACCAGAATAAGAGCTATATCCATGTTGTACTTACAACATAGGTTGAGGGTGGGAACTAGGGTATTATAAGGGAAAGTAAGACAGTTTAGTTTCATAAGGATGCCATCAGCTCCCTACTTCTCTAGGGGATTTCAATGTGGCAGAAAGATGACAAAAAACAAAAACAAAAAAGTCAGATGCACAGGCAGGCTCCAAGCCCATCTTCCAGGAACAGGGCTGTGGATAAATATCAAGTTGATATCTATTTTTCACTTACTTCTGCTTTGCTGTGTGGCAGTGATGTGGGGCATGGGGAAACATCCTTCATGAGTGTCACTGAGCATCACAGTGATAGAAATGATACTGCTCTCACAGTTCAGTCATGATAGGAAGTACTCCCAGCCTGCCACGTGCCCAGCTCTGCACTCTAAGCTTTAGGGACATCGTATCATCCAGAGCAACCCTACAAGGTAGGCACTGGTGTTAGCCCCATGTACAGATGAGTAGACTGGGATCGCGTGGCTAATGAGAGGACCAAAGCTACCCTACACTCCTTTGGTGGTTAGCCAGGGAGGGCTAAGGACCAGCCTATGGTTCTGTTCAGAAAGCTAGATGGAAAAGTGGCAGGGTAGGGTTCAAGTTGGCTAGCCCAATGTTTCCTGTACCTGGTTAGTAAGTTCTCAGAAAGCAGAACCAAGTATGATATGCCCTGCATCCATTCCCTAGTTCATGGCCTGGAGCCAGACCCCGTTAACTATACATGGCCGCAGATCAAATTCAGTCTTCCTAACAGGTCATAGTGCCTGTCGGAGAGAAGAATGCCTCTTTTCAAGTGACTTCTCAAAATGTTGGACAAGTGACTGTTTATCTACATGGAAATCATTCTAACCAGACCTGGTAGGCTGGCGTCCGCCCCCCACCCCCACCCCTGGGCCTCAAATAGCAGGAAGGGTGGCCATGGACAAGATGGGCATCAGGGCTTCCTCCAGAAGCTTCACCTTGATACATCCTGACCCCAAATCCCTTTCTAGCCCTAGGATCCGGTTCTTGGTGATACACAGCAGAATCATTAGCATCATAAACCAGGTGATTGGCTGGATCTACTTCATGGCCTGGTCCGTCTCCTTCTACCCACAGGTGATCCAGAACTGGAGGAGGAAAAGGTAACTTGCCCAGCTTAATACTGTCCCTGCAGACCTTTGTAGGGCTGCAGGAAGTTAACCCTCTACACTTGTGTCTGCCTGCTAGTAGGGTGGGTTTCCCCTGCTAGCTATGGCTCCTTCCCAATCAGCCCTTCCCTATGGAAGCAATGACATGGAGCTTCACAACTAAACCAAAAATAGGCTGGCTAGGGGGAAGTCTGCCCTGAAGCTCCTTGGCTCTGGAAGGCTGGGCATCATGTCATGCAGCCTTTAGCCCCAGAGAATAAGCTCTTTTGATTTGAAAGATAAAATAAAAGTAAGCCTGGGCTGAAGGACATAGTTCCCCTGACTTCATACTATCATGTGGGTCTCAGGAGACTGCCAAGCAGTGAGCCAGGGAAGTGGGTGCTGTCTCTCCCCTGAAGGCCTCCAGGAGAAACCTCTGGAGTGTGGAAGGGGAGCAGGGGATTGGCTCTCGAGAGGGCCAATTGGATGGTATCAGCCATGGTAATGGAGAGGCCTCTAAGGATGGTGCTGAGGCCTCCTTTCCCATGCTCCAGGAGCTATGTCCTCTCCCGTCCCAGGAGTTCCCCACCCTGCCCCTGACTTACCTTTTCTTCCCCTCTGCCCCTCTGCAGTGTCATCGGTCTCAGCTTTGACTTCTTAGCCCTGAACTTGACAGGCTTTGTGGCCTACAGCGTTTTCAACATTGGCCTTTTGTGGGTGCCCTACATCCAGGTACAGCACTGCTCACTCCCTACAGCCCGTCCAAGCTCCTGGGTGACTGGGCCCCTCCTCTCAGCTTCTCCTCGCCCCCCCAACAGGAGCAGTTTCTCCTCAAACACCCCAACGGTGTGAACCCTGTTGAGATCAATGATGTCTTCTTCAGCCTGCATGCTGTTGCCCTCACCCTGATCGTCATCCTGCAGTGCTGCCTGTATGAGGTAAGCGATGACATCTGGTGACCTGGCCTGCTACTGGTGTCCTGAGCCATCCCCCACCCCACTCTTCCCACATGCCCTGAAGGGATGGTGACATGATGGCCCCCCGCCTTCTATGGCTGAGTGGATGGGGGTGGATTTTCCTATCCTGTCCCTGGTTTAACTGAGGGAGTAGATCAGGAAAATAGTGTTTTCATGAGCCAAGTTTGAGTAAGGTTCTTGGTAAAGGAGAAGGCAAGGTCATTCACCATGATGTGTGAGGGAAACTGTGAGGAGATGGGAATGGCCAGGGTTAGGAGTACCAGTGTGGAGGCAGCTTCTGGGAGGGCAGGAGGGACCTGGATTCAGCTCTGTTGCTGAAAAGCTATGTGGGGGTCTCAGCATAGGATGAAAGCATGTGTTACGTTAGTCAGGCTGTGGTGTCTTGGTAGTATCACACTGCCTTTAATCCCAGCACTCGGGAGGCAGAGGCAGGCAGATCTCTGTGAGCCTGGCCACAGAGCCAATTCCAGGACAGGCTCCAAGACCACACAGAGAAATCCTGTCTCAAAAAACAAAATCAAACAAACAAAAAACATTAAGAGTCCCAGTGTTCCATATGAGTGCCCCGATGTGACAGCCTTACCATCACCTCTCCATAACGTGCTACCTCCTCACAAAACCAGTGGGGACTATGTGACTCACAAAGCTCCTTGCTTTTTTTTTGCTATGACACTCTGCTGAAGGGGCCTCACTTTGGGGCCATGTCTAGAGAAAAGCCATAGTGGGAGACAGATCCCAAGGTCCCCGGGTTTCATCCATATCATGGAATGATCTGACAGCAGGGCTAGGTGAGGTTTTGTGCCTCCTGCATCAGGGTTTGTGCCCCTGCACTATTTGCTCCCTCCAAATAAGCTCTGAGATATCCAGATCTGCGAAGTTGGAACTTGGTCAGCAGGGGCTGGAGGATTCAACATGGATAGAACAGGAGAGCTTGACTGTAAGAGGATGGAGCTGGTGCTAGAGACTCACACCTTATCCCAGCCCAGGTTTGATTTACTCACACCCAGATAGAAACCAATAACCTCTGGATTTGGTCTCCTACCCTGGCCTTGTGCAGACATATCCCTAGTGCACCTAGCCTCCTCTTTACACAGGATATACCAAGGCCAGGATTCTGCTCCCAGTCCTGCCTTCCTGTACACCTGTCCAAAGCCATTCCTTCCTGAAACCACTAAGCAACCTTTGTGTTCACATCTACAACCCTACCCTTGTCTCATCCTCAGCGAGGCAACCAGCACGTGTCATGGCCCTCCATTGGCTTCCTGGTACTCGCGTGGCTCTTTGTGTTAGTCACCATGATTGTGGCTGCAGTCGGTGTGACCACATGGCTACAGTTCCTCTTCTGCTTCTCCTACATCAAGCTCGCCGTCACGCTAATCAAGTATTTTCCACAGGTACTCCACAGCCTTCCTGCATTTCTATATGGCTGGTAGTATGAGTTGCAAGAGGTACTGAGCCCAGGTCCTGCTCTCATGGGACAGCTTTTACCAAGCTAAGGAAATAAGGATAGAAAGCTATAATAGAAGCCAGTAAACCCAGAATGGCAAAACACCAGTGGTTCCCACTGCCTGCCTAGTTCCTGGAGCCAGACTCACTGTCTTTCCTAATAACTTTGGATTTCTCTCTCTTGACTGCCTAACACAATAGGCATCCTAAGGACCAATGGTGGGGAATCAGAAAAGACCAGAGAGAGGCGGGAGATGACCACTGGGGCCTTCCCCTTTGCAGAAATGTTCTCCAAGGAGGTCCCTCAGCATGCCCCCCTCCCTAGTTCTTATAGTCCAGACAAGGTCCTGGGGCTTAGCCTCAAACACACCACCCCTGACAAGCATGGTGGCCCCAGGCTAGAGCCTGATGTAAAGAAATGACATCCACATATGAGTTCTAGAGCCACCTTGAACTTCTCCCCAACAAAGAAGCTCAGTGCTGAGTCTTGTATCCTTTGGGCTAGAGATACAACATTTGGCTACAAGCAGGGGTAGACCCTGAGGGGAAAAGCAGAGTTCTGTAGACTATGGAGAGTGCTGTTTCAGGCCTGGGCAGCCTGCATGGAGACCTAGCTGCTGAGCAATGTAGAGAATCTAGAAACTGAGTAGCTAGAGCCAGGTCCCAGGGAATTTGCATGGAGGGACCAAACTCTGTGGTATGGCTTAATTAAGGCTGGAACTAGAGAGGGAAGGCCAAGTATGGGATCGAATGAGAAAGATCAGGATGGGAACCAGAAAACCACCAACAAGGCCAAGAGCTCCCTCCTGGGTGGTAGGAAAGGAGGTGATACCTCTGGCTAGGGCAGCAGGAAGAGGGGAATGCCCAAGAGGTAGCAGCTGGGCCACTGTATGGGTAGAAGAACTAAAGGACTCAAGGTCACCCCAAGGTCACCCCAAATCCAGAGCTGGAGCAGAAAGTCTGACTCCCAGCCACATTCCTAAGTAGTGTGGAGTCCGGGCTGAGATCGGGGCAGAATCACTGGAGCTGTGAAGAATCAAGAGTCACAGTCAGACATACTGGTACATACCTATAATCCTAGTATGTGGAGTACCTGGGAAGCTGAGGCAGAAGGATCATGAGTTCAGGGCCAGCCTAAGCTACATAGGGAGACACTGATTTAAAAATAAAAATCAGAGCTCTGTGTCTACTCTGAGTGGTTGAAAACCTAGGCAGCACTCCCCACCCCCACCCCACTGAAGTCTAAAGGTGTGGAAGGGCCAAGGAAGAGAGAGGTTTCACTTGCCCTGCATGCAGATTGTTTTCCTGGCTCCAATTTGTCAAAGCCCAGAGGTCATTGTGTTCCTTGGAGCCCTGAGCTTAGTACATGAGTGGGAAGAATCAGCAGATTATATTTGGAGTAGCAGTCACAAGGCATTGTCCCTCCCCAGGCCTACATGAACTTTTACTACAAAAGCACGGAGGGCTGGAGCATTGGCGGTGTGCTCCTGGACTTCACAGGGGGCAGCTTCAGCCTCCTCCAGATGTTCCTCCAGTCTTACAATAACGGTGAGTCTGCCAAAGCTGCTTCTACCCAACAGATGAAGCACAGGAGAAAGGGGCTTCCTAGCTTGTACGATTTCCTGGGCAAATGGGGGTCCTCACATCCCCACACATCTACCTACTGTAGACGATACCAGCCTAAAAACAGACTCTGTCCCCTCTGGCTATTTAACAGACCAATGGACGTTGATCTTCGGAGACCCAACCAAGTTCGGACTCGGCGTCTTCACCATCTTCTTTGATGTTGTCTTCTTCATCCAGCACTTCTGTTTGTACAGAAAGAAACCGGGGTACGACCAGCTGAACTAGAACCCAGAAACCCAGTATAAGCAGCCAAGGCCTGGGCCCTGGTAGGAAAGGTTTGTCCAGCAAAGGCCAGAGAAGCAGCTGGTGTACAGGGCTGGTACAGTATACTGACAGAGAAGCACTCTCTTCCTCATGCGCCAAATGCCTTAAATCCTGGCCCCTCCTCAGCCACAGAGGACTCTCTGGGACAGACACCTGACTCTGCTCTGAGACTGAAAGCCAGACTTGAAGTGGTCTCTCCCAACCCAAAGTTCCAGCCCCTTGCTGGGAGGCACCCAATCCTCCTGCATCTTGATATGGCATCTCTTTTCTTTAAGGCTGCAGGCAGCACACACAGGTTCCGACAGCCATCCCAGACAGAACTGGGCACCAAGTTTGCAGCCGATGGCCTTGCCCCAAACCACCAGTATTTCTGGGAGCGGCTTGAAGGGCTAACTTTGCAGCTGTGAGAGCCAAGGGTGCTTCCACCACTTCGTCCACAGGGACCAAGCAGCCAGGTGTGCTGTGGCCAATGGACTTGAAGGTGCTGATGCTTGTGGTGGAGGGGAGAGGACTATGGGGGTGAGGTTCTGGGACCCTTTCTCTGGAGGCCACATTTCTGATAATGCTCCAGTAACTGTAGAACATGTGGCCCAGGCTGGTACCTGGTAATGTGTATTTCTGATCCCTGAGGTGCCTGCCAGTTCATCATGAAGTGAGCCCCACCTACCACCCTCTGGATCGTTACATACAAAGACAGATATCACAGTAACGTTTTGATTTTTTAACCTCTGAGGGATATTTTGAAATGGCTTTTTTTTCTTTTGCCCTCTTTCTGAGTCAGATGGAGCTCCATCTGAGTACCTGACCCCCACTACTCCTAGTACCAGCCTGTGCCTTAGAGTCAACCAAGCAGTAAGAGTTGCTCCTCTGGAGGGGAGGAGAGGACAGGCCTCCCCACCACCAACCTGCCCCAAACTAGAACTCCAATTTCTTAGCTGTTGAGAAGAGCAGGAACTCACCTCCTATGATGCTTATGAGCCCCACCCTGATACCAAACCTCCTTCCTTCTGGTCCCAAGTTATTCTTCCTATGCCAGATGGGGGAAGGAACGAGGGTGTGCCTTGAGTTTACCAATCTCCTCTTTGTGCTTTCTACAAGACTAATATTGAGGGGCCCTTGTATTTCTCATTCTTGTATTTTTTTTTCTTGTCTGGTTTCATTTTGGTGGAGCATGTGTCCTTAATTAAAAGGTGGCTTGTTTACTATCTGTACACTTAGAACACTTACTAGATGCAGAAAGCAGTTATATTGACCTTTGGAACCAAGTCCTTGGGGCTTAGAGGACCTTGCTTACTTGTGTGAAGAAATGCATAGGGTTGTGGAGTACATTGACTTGAGGTGGCTACATGTTGACCCACACTGGATCAGAGAAGCCCTCTCAGGTTCAAGATGCCAGAGCCAGGTAGGTTTGTTCCAGTATCTGCCAGTACCAAGGTCCCATCAGCATGTTCAGGCTGTGGATGTGAGCAGGGGTTGGAAGGTTCAGGGTAGGGCATGAAGCAGAGGTGGTGATCTTACTCTGTAGGCTGAAACATCTCCAAAGTCCTGTTTCCTAGAGTCAGGCTTGCAGCCTGGTCAAGCCCATAGCTCACCTGTTGATTTTTTTTTTAATGTGTTATTGGGCTGGACATAGTATACCTGTAATGTCAGCTATGTAGGAGGAAAGTGTGCTACACTTTAAAAACAGATTTTAAAATTCTGGACTTTTCCTTTAGGACAGAGTGTTATAACTCAAACCCAGGACCCTGAGCATGTTAGACAAGTGCTCTATGGCTGACCAACATCTCCAACCTTCTGGGCTTTCCTTTACATGTTCTGCCTAGAGTTCCCAGCTTACCATCTAATCAGCCTGCCCCTGTAAACATCTGGGTTTTTCCCCATAAACCCAAGTGCCTGTGAGGCTCCTCTCAAGCGGGAACTGAAGCTGGGCTACACAAGAGGCAGATGAGGGTTTCACAGTGACACAAGAAAATACTCTGCAGACTTCCCACAACTACAGTGAACGTGCTTCCAGGCATTTCTACAAATGTGGTATCTGCACACCACAGTGAGGCTTCTATGGTACCGACAGAAATATATTTTCCAAGCAAGTAAGCCTAGGAGTTGTACTTTTTCCTAGAACATCAAGGGGCAGGCTAGCCACCCTCCAAGATACCTGCCCCTAGTAAGACAGAAACCCCTAGTAAATTCCAGCATTGTTTATTGGGCACAAGTGTTGAACATGGGTAGCATCATACTGCCCCATTTCCATAGTAACCAATTGGCTTAGTAACATGCTACAAATTGCTGCTTCCAGGTGTGTGAATTAGTAAGCTAAATTCAAAAGGAGAATTGGCTTTTCCAAACAGTAAGATAAAAACACTTTGTATCAAAGTTGTGACTTAAAAAATACAAAAGCTAAACCCACAGGTGTAGAGGAAAAATGGCAATCCTCAGAGCTGCCCTGAAATGTCAGTCTTGAAACTTGCATAAATTGTTTAAGCAGGCAGCTCCTGGAGAGGCCAGCACCCATTAGGGAAATGAACGTAGTGGGAGCCTGCCCTCTTCCATTCAGGTGGCCTTCATACAGTCTCTGGTATATTTGGGTCCAGCCCCAGGCTGGGCCCCATGAAGGGAAGCATGGAGAGAGGCACTGAGGAAGGATAGGGCCAAGCCCTTCAGCCAGAGACAATGAGGAATCATGGCCCTACCTGGCATTTCCAAGCTTTGGCAGCTCTCAGAAGGTGCTTCCTGACTGCCCAGCCCCTGCTGTGGCCAAGTAGTGGGTCTCAAGCCGAGCCTTTGGTCACTGTGGACTGGATACTACTCCAAGCCCTTATTTCCAATTCTCAGCATCCAGGAGAGAGAGAGGAGAGAGAGAGAGCTGATACCATGGCCTCAGATTGGGGGTTGAGGGGTAGGAAGGTTGGCTTGGACCTTGGGATGAGCTGTTAACCCCCTCAGAGCTGGGACCCAGCACACAGAAGCCAGAATGAGATACAGACAGAGCGTGGATGTGTTGTCACTATACAGAAAGGTTGGTGGGTACAAGTCAAGACTGGCTGACTGCTAAGACAGCATGGACTGCTGTACGGCCTTCTGCAGAGACTGCCGGGTCACAAGCAGGCGCACCACCTCCTCCGAGCGTTTGGTGAGCCGCTTCCGAGCCTGGTCATGCGTGACCATGGTCATGTCCCAGCCGTTCACCTGACCCAAGGAGAGAACACAGGATATCTCAGCTCTTTGCCCTCTAGAAAAGTGGTTCTCAACCTGTGGGTCGTAATCCCTTTGAAGGGTGTTAACCTTTTCACAGGGATTGCCTAAGACTGTAATGTACATCAGATATTACATTACAATTAATAACAGCAGCAATAGCAACAAAAATAATTTTATGGTTGGGGGGGTCACTACAACATGAGGAACTGTATTAAAGGGTTGCAGCATTAGGAAGGTTGAGAATCACTGCTCTAGAATCTGGAAACAGGGTTTTGAGGGACCAAGGCTACCCAAGCAGACTCCAAGCTCATATCCCCTAACATAGAGATGCCCAGCATTCTAGCAGCATACCAAACCTGCTTCCTTAGGGGCATTAATAGCATGGCTTCAGAAACCCATTTCGATGAACCGCCCCTCTGGGAAGTTAGCCCCCAACCCCAAGTGCTTCAGCTCCTCTCACACAAACCTCGTTTTCCTCCTTTGGAACAACCATACCTGCATGATCTTGTCTCCAATCTGCAGCCCAGCAATTTCAGCAGGGCCTCCCTCAGATACTCGTGTGACGTAAATGCCCTGGAAAGAAGCAACCCAGGTAAAGCCCTGTGATCACTGGATTGTCCTTTATCCATATAACCCAGCATGACATACTCTCAGAAACACCTCTGTCCCTGTGCCCACCTTTCCCACCACAGCTGGCATGGACTGTACCCATGACAGCCAGGGGGCAGGGTAGCTGCCCCTGGGGTGTTCCAGGCTGCTGATGGCCACCTCCTGCTCCTCCAGGCTGTCTCAGCATGCTTCCCACTTAATCCCACCAGATCATTCAGGATTGCCTAAGGAAAAACAGTCTGATCTTTCCACACAAGCCCAGGAAGAAAAATCTGCCACCTCAGGCTTCTGTGCCCCGTGGGGACATCTGAGACCTTAGTCTCCCTCACCTTGTCTGTTTTATCTTCCGAGAAGGGATTCTGGGAAGGATCCTGGTCAATCCCACCTCCAATACTGAAGCCCAGGATTAAGTTCTCACCTTGACGCAACTTATGAATTTCAACTCTTTGCTGGTAAAAGAAAAAGCAAGTTGTGGGTAATGGGTAGATGGGTGGGGGAAGACCTGATCTCTGTGTCCAGCAGCAACCACAGGCTGCTGGGTCAACTTAGAACTATGCCAAGGGGTCAGAGTTGAGGGCCTTCTGCTGAAATCCAACAGGTTACCTGCCGGGAAGTTGATGGTTGGGTCTTAACCCCTACACACAGCCCTTCGCCTGCAACTTTCCCCACTCATTTCCCATCCTTAACCAATAACGTATTCAGGGCCTATCCTGGCCCATGGAACAGAGGGAACTGTGGCTACTATAAGAAAGACACCTATCTTTCTGGAGAGGGACCACCCAGAACAGGAAAGTTAAGCTCTGAGAGTGCAGATGCCTGCTGAGGCAGCTCAGATTGCTGGCTGCTGAGCAAGCCCTACAGAGATTATGACAGCCTGGGGGTGCATGGGAGAAGCAGGGAAGAAATCTGCCCAGAAAGAAGAGAAGGGCTTCCTGGCCAAGGAGACTGGTGTGCACAGAGCAGAACTCAGGACCAGGAGGTGAGATGGGATGAAGGATGAAACTGTGGGTGTAGGCCTAGTCATATCTCCCCAGTCCTTAGGTCCTAATCTTACGCGGTATAAGAGACACTATTCTAGGGCTTTCTCAGCATGCTCTGGGGTTGGGGTCTCCAACTGTGCAGGTTCCTTTGACAGCCCTCAGAAAGCATCCTCCAGCTACCTACCAGAGCTTACCCCAAAAGTTGAGGATTTTAACATGAAAAAGTAGGGATGGCTTTCTGATCTTAGGAAGGCTTCAACAGAGGAAGGATCATTTGCACACAGCCTTGAGAAATGACCTGTACCACCTGACCTTGATCTTGAACCTACTGGAACTCAAAAAGGAGGTAGGAGTAGGGCAAGGCATTGATGCTAGAATGATCATTTGAGTGGTAGGTAGGAGAATGGATTTCTCATGGGTGGGATATGGAGACCTGAAGACATGAGCTACTTATAAGTGCTGATCCACAGACAAGGACTGATCATGAGCAAATGGAAGAGTGCACCCTGTCATCTATCCAAATCAGCAGTTCTCAACCTGTGGGTCATGATCCTGTTGGGGCAACCAATCCTTTCGAGGTCACCTAAGATCATCAGAAGACACAGGTATTTACATTACAATTCATAACAGCAGCAAAATTACAGTTATAAAGTAGCTGTTGGGGGTTCACCACATTATGAGGAACTGACTAAAGAGTCACAGCATTAGGAAGGTTGAGAACCAGTCTAGATGAACATAACCCTCACTCAGTTGGGGACCCAGGAATAAGTGCAATGTCAGTAGTTAGGAGTGTCAGGAACCATCTGCACAGATTTCCAGAAGGTAGATCTCTGGGGCCAGAGTTCAGGGGAGGAGACAAAATGGCTGTAACAGAATCAGGGTAAAACTGGGAGGGAAGCATCTCCACCCCATAAGTAATCCAGGACTCGGGAAAGAGGCCAGATCTGCCTGCTTATGCTCAGGCATGCACCTGGCATTAGGATTGGAGGACTGTGGACTTACAGCTTTGAAAAAGACTCTGACTGGCCTGACAAGATGGAAGAGGATGATGCCTAAGGCCCATTCACCTGGAGCTTCCTGCCTGAAAGTGTAAGTTCCAGATCTATTCCCACAAACACCTCCTTGCATGCCCATCAGCAAGGTCCAAAAGGAGACGAGGCCCTGTGACGAAGCCCTGTGACTAACTTAAGGGAGAAGTCAGGCAGTCAAGCGGTTCTTCCTAGGTTCTCACTCGCACCCTCTCTTTTTCAAATAGGATCAAGCCCTAACTCCTTTCTGGAGCAGCTAGGGAGAGTTCCTAGAAAAACCAGTCCGCTGCAATTGGAGTGCAAACCAGGAAGCTGTCCATTGATTGGCCCAGCAATATTTCCTTCTACCCAGCTCTAATCTCACCCTCCCAGGGCACCTTCATCAGTGGCTTTGATGCCCCAACCCTCTTGACTTTGAGAGCTCTCCAGCACACCGTCAAACATGGCCCATCCCTATAGCTCCTGAGTTAGGACTTTGGGGCCAAGAGAACATATTGATTCACACCTGTAACTCCAACACCTGGAAGTCTAAACCGGAAGTACTGCCAGAAGTTCAAGGCCAACTAGGGCTTAAGAGTGAGGCCATGACTGGGCTCTTCCAGAAAAGCTTCCTTTATGGCTGGGCATAAAGGCTTCTCTGAGGTGGAATTCAGCATATCCGCCTCTGCCCTCAGGGTTGGACTGCAGGCCCTATCAGACCCTGACCTTCGTGCTTAGAGCAACCATCCCCCTTTCCTTTGCCTAGTCAAATGCAACTGATAGAAGACAAACTCAGAAGGCGACCCTGGAAAGATCTAGAACATCGAGTCATGCACAAGAACACACACTTTGAACCAAGGGGCTGAGTATCCTGAAAAGTTAAGAAAATCAAGTTTAGCTCTCGAGGGGCCGGTCCCCAGAACGAGGCCAATTGAGAAATGGGAAGGGGCTGCTAGGACAAACTCTGGCCAGTCCCACCCCCTAAATCTATGGCTAGGCGGCGGCGGCGGCAGTGTGGCGGCTGGAGCAGAGGAAACGCTTCCTCATTCCAAAGGGTACGACTCACTCACCGACGTCGGCGCCCGCCCCCCGCGGCCGCCCAGCTGGGGACACGGAGGCCCAGGGCTGGGGAGTTTTCTAACACTCCCACGGACCAGCCTTTCGCCTCCATCCTTCCAGTCCGCGCCTGCTAAACGGTATCCACCCAGCGGCGGCAGTGCACGGGATCTGGCCTCTGCTCTGGGTCTCGGGAGGCTCGTAGGTCCCAGCCACCTCTCCTGGCCAGGGAAGGCTGCAGCACTGCTAAACAGAAACGGCAACTGAAGCTCCGGCCACCGGAATGCGCGCAAGAGCCCCGACTACTATACTTTCTTCGCCTATCTAGATGTCAGTTTGCCGCTCTGCGAAATGGGGTGAGCCAAGACGAGAAGGAGCTCGCACGAGCGCACTCACCACTACGGCGGTGACTGGCTGGCCCGGGATGTAGGACATTTCGACTCCAATCTGACGAGCCGTCTGCGCCCGGAGAGACCCGCAGCGAGAATGCCCGCGGCCGCGCCCTCCCTGGTTAACAAAGGGCAGCCCTGCTCGGCCCGCCCCCTCATGAATACTTAACAAGTCTTCAGCCAATCATCAGCCGGAGCGCTGTTGAGCTTTCGGGAGTCCCAGGACTTGCGTGCTGAAGTGGGGCGGGAGGAGAGCGTGCCCGAGGCGCAAAGCGTGGGAGGGCGGAGCGGAGTCTGTGCGCCTGCGCAGCCTGAGCCCTCCCAGCAGCCTCCAGCACAACATGGCGCCGTGGAACGTCCCGCTCTCTCCTGTCTGAGGGAACACGAGGGACTGTGTGCCGCTGTGTCCCAGGTAACTCGGCGAGCCTTTCGGGTGTGTGCGGGTGTGCGGCTGTCCCGGGCCGGCCCGAGCCTCGGCCTCGGCGGCCCGTGGAGGTCAGAGGCCCAGGCGCGGTGTCGGAGGTCCCAGGGGAAGAAGGCGCCGCGCGCCCAACTCGCCGGGCTGCGGGCGCCACTTGTAACTTGGTTTCCTCCGCAGTTCCGCGCTGAGTCCACGAGAAGGCAGAAGCGGAGCCCCGGCGGGCGCGATGGCCGCGGTGGTGGCCAAACGGGAAGGGCCGCCGTTCATCAGCGAAGCAGCCGTACGAGGCAACGCCGCGGTCCTTGATTACTGCCGGACCTCAGTGTCAGCGCTGTCGGGGGCCACAGCCGGCATCCTCGGCCTCACCGGCCTCTACGGCTTCATCTTCTACCTGCTTGCCTCCGTCCTGCTCTCCCTGCTCCTAATTCTCAAAGCGGGAAGGAGGTGGAACAAATATTTTAAGTCACGGAGACCTCTCTTTACAGGAGGCCTCATCGGAGGCCTCTTCACCTACGTCCTCTTCTGGACGTTCCTCTATGGCATGGTGCACGTCTACTGAAATGAGGGCAGGGGTGACTTAAAAAAGAGAAAAGATTGGCAGGACTCTTGCCAGCAGTTAACACCGTGTAGACTTACTTAGTTTTTAAATTGTTTGAATTCGCTGCTTGTTCTGTACTGTTATAATTTATATCTGAAGACAGAGAGCCTGTAATATTCTTCAGATTAAATGAAGTGTGACACTTTGTTGAGTTCTTTCCTACCTTGATGCTTACCATGCTTTGAATTCGCCAAGATTTGCTCCCTGGAGAGCAGGCCCTAGGCCATAGCCTGTAATTTTCTTGGATTTGCACCTAGTAAATCCAAAGGTACCTCTAGGGCTTACGTGAGGAGAGAACATAGCATTGACATCTGAAGGACTGATGACAGTTCGTGTTACTAAGCATTCTCTATGTGCAGTCACTGTAATGTGTACTTTTTGCATTGGGTATGTTTTAATTCTAACAACTGTGGAGACGGTACTGTTAAACGTCTGCTGATGAAGAGCCTGAGGCCCAGAGAGGTTAGATGTCTCTACCTCGGGTGGCTCCATCTGGGAAGAGGCAGAGCCAGAATCCAGTTACAAGTCTGTGTGCTTGTGCTGTATTAGATGAAAGTACCTTCCTAGCATCGTTACCCACCTACCACTGCTGTCGATTATGAATGGAATCAGTTAAGTTCCAGTTATCTGGTCACAGCTAGTTATCTTTCCTGTAAGGAGAAGAAAATAAAACTGCAAGCTATTTTTCTAGAATGTACCCTATGGCGATTAAATAGGTTATTGGACATTTAATCAAATGAGTTTTTCGAGTGTAATGCCTCTGACTATTATCTTCATTCCTAACCATTCCTTTTGAAGGAGGATTTTAGAATGAAATACATATTTAACTGAAAAAATATATACTTGTGTAGACTTGTAGTGAACATGTTGCACATAGAATTCATAGTCTAACTGGGGACAACATTGGCATTACCTGATTTTAGGGATTATATTAGATGCCATGAAAGGATACACAGAAGCACTAAGCCTAGACTAGGTTTGGAAATGGAGTAAAGGAAGAAATAACATTGTCTGAGACTGAAAGGTTAAATAACAGCTGAATAGAATGAATGGAGGGGCTACTTTGAGAAAAGAGCATGTGGAAGAGACACAAGGTAGGAAGGATGACAGCCTTTTTTAGGTCATGAGGTAGTCCTGACCATATTATAAAAGTTGGCCTTGATTCTGGAGTACTTAGAGGAAGTTTTTGGAAATTTTAGCAATGTGAATTGGCTTTTGTTTTTAAGAAAGGGATAATGAAAGATTGAATTCAAGACCTCTTTTCCTAGACTGTAGATGGTCTGTACCCACCAAGTAATGGCCCAAGCACCAAGCCCTAAATCCTGTTTCAGGTTCTGGGCCACATGCTTGCATCTCATTCCAAGAAGCTGAGGTTACAGCTTTACTTTCCTGTCCCAAAGAGCCCTCTCCTGAAGATCCTGACATGCATGTTTCAGGGCTCATTCCTGATGGATTCCTGATTTGACTTAATGACTTTCCTGTTGAACAGTAAATTTGTTACAAATGTTTGCTGCCATTAAACTATGCAATAACTTCTTTCATATTCCTATCAGTTTTGAGCAGATTTAATATTCATAGGACAGAGGATAAGTTAATTTTAAGTACTTACCAGCATTTATCCAATGAGTACTAGTTTTATCACTGTCTTCCCTAGTCTGTTTTTTATTACTCATAATTATGTAGGTATACGCATTTGCATCTTAGTGGGTATGTGTTCATGAGTGTGGTTTCCCACAGCAGCCAGAGTTGTCATCTCCCTTGGAGCTGGAGTTAAATTTGTGCTAGGAACAGAACTCAGGTCCTCTGGAAGAGCAGCAAGTGCTCTTAAACCTCTTTATCATCTCTTTTCTTATCTTTTAGCATCTATTCATTTCAAGAGTCTCCTTGGAGCAGGCAAGATGGCTCAGCAGGTAAAGGTGTCTGCTGGCAAGCCTGCTGACCTGAATTCAGTCTTCAGGAACCACACTGTCAAAGGGAAGAACGAACTCTGATCTTCACAAGCATAGTGAGGCACGTGTACACACAGACACACACAAATAAGTGTAATTTTAAAACAATGTTCCCATACTTTGATTTGACTCTCTTTATGACAAGAAAGGTAATACATGTGTTATTGCTTTTATCTGCCTCTTTGTTTAACCTTACATTATTCCCCTATAGGGGTAACAAGAGGAAAAAAAAGACACATCTAAAACTGATGACTTCTATTATTTTAGAACTAAGTAAGTATCCAAAAATTACATATGTTAGACAGGTCACAGAAAGTGCCTGGCCCGCTTGACTTTTTATGTTGGCTAAAGTAAGAGTCACTGTCTATCAGAAAAGTGCTGTCCCTTGTAGGGTGTGGGTAAAACTTAAGTGGAGCCCTGTTCAGATCTGAAAGACACTGTAATTAGGGACTGAGTCCCCAACTCAAGCACCTGGAGCAAGGCATGTTCCAGCTCTATGATGGCCTCCCCACTGAGAGGAACAACTGATGGAAACGGAGAGCAAAGGCAGCTATGACAGGAACAGTAGTTTGTGATTCCATGGCTAATCCCCAGGTCACGTTGATAGCACCCAGTATATTAGTTGGCCCACATCATGATGCTCCCAAAGGTATGAAATAACTTTTAGGACGATCTTAGATGGCCCAGATTAGGCTAGGGACTGACACACATAGGTCAAGGAAAAAAGTGTTTCCCCAAAGTTTAGGAAATCAAGTACCTGACTCAATTCCTGAATTAGAAGCCTGGACTACAGAGGAAAACTCTGAGAGGTTTTGGTTTTGGTTTGTTTTTAATTTAGGCAACTGGTTTCCATAAGATGGATGAGCTGCCTTATATCAAGGTAATGCAGAAGGCAAGAAGTTGGGGGAAGGGGACACAAGACAGCTTTGGCAGAATGGGCATCTCTGTGAGAAGTTGTAATGCGATCCCTGGCTTTCTAAGTTTGGGGCCTCCTAAAATGATCCAAGGGTCAACGTAGCTAATTTTGCTGGCCTAAAAGGAACAACAGGTTAACGGATCTGTTGGCCAGTGAAGCGTGGAGCATAATGAAGACCAATAAAAGAACACTTTACACTGTCCATGTAGTAATAATCCTTCCTGGTTTTTTCCACATCGAAGCACCTGGGATTCCCTTCCTTGCCTGTCACCTAGGCAGGCAACTCCTAACCTTTCAGATTTAAACTACCACTCTCTTGAGTACACTTACTCCAGCTGTTCCAGGTTAAAACTGCCCCCAGCACCCTATTTAGTTCATGATGACAAGTGTGACCACCCACCAGGCTGGAAGCATTGAGGGCAAGGACCATGTATGCTGCTCACCAGTGTCAGGACACAGAACATGAACTTGGTACTTACTGACAATAACTAGCAAAGGCACTTTCATTCTGATACAAAATGAGTTGTCTGACTGTCCCTAAGCCATTTCAGAAGAGTAGGAAGAAGAGCCAGGCCAAGCTCTAAACTGCCATGACCCTTGGCCCTCTTGTTTGCTCCTAAACTTGAAAGGAACCTGCTGGGGGTTGCTTTAACAAGGAAGTCAGCTACCTAAGTGGATTACCCAGGCTTTCACTTTCAGAAAGCAGAATGGCTTGGTGATATCCTCCAGATAACCGAAGGCTGCATCCCTTGGAAGAGGTCCTGCTCTGGACACCACTCCCTACTGCCCCAGTGGCAACAACTCTTCCCCCTCCACCATTGTTTTTTGTTTGTTTGTTTGTTTTTTAACTTATTTTTGGGTTTTCCAGACAGCATCTCTACATAGCCCTGGCTATCCTGGAACTCACTATGTAGACCAGGCTGGCCTCAACCCAGAGAGATCCGCCTGCTCTGCCTCTCCAGTGCTAAGATTAAAGGTGTGCCTTACCATGCCGGGCTGATTGCATGTATGTCTGTACCAGTTCGTGCCTAGTACACACCAAAGCCAGAACAGAGTGTCTGATTCCCTTGGAACTAGAATTACAGGTGATTGTGAGCCATCCAGTGAGTGCTAGGAATTGAACTGTGTTTTCTGAAAGGGCAGCCAGTGCTCTTAACACTGAGCCCTCTCTTCAGCCCTCCACCCCTTTTTTCAGGTTGAAATTCCTGAGCTCAGGTGGCCTACGCCATATGCTGGGTCTACAGGTGAGCAAAACCCAGTTACCAGGCCCCTTCTGATCACCACCTGTAAGGGCCCACAGAAGGATATTCACTGTCCCTGGCATGGGGTGGGGGAGCTTCTAGAGAGGAGCTCCTAGCATTGAAAGAAGCACCTAGACAGTGCCTGGGACTACCTCAAGGCAGAACTTAACCCTTAATAAGAGCTCTGGGTTCCTCACCTTGGATTTCTCCAGATACTCCTCCATAGGATAGGAGAGAATGAACCCGCTAGCTCCCCAGCCTTGCATTTAAATGTGTCCCAAGTCTTTCTGACAGGAAATTTGGCCTTACAAGAATAAATCATTTCCTGAGGGAGTGGCCAGGTAGCCAGATGGACCTTCAGAAAAATATAGGAGAGTGAAAGAAAGGGATTTTTTTTTTTTTTTTTTTTTCCTCTGTATAACAGCCCTACCTGTCCTGGAACTAGTTGTGTAGACCAGAGACCAGGCTGGCCTCAAACTCACTGGAGATCTGCCTACACTACCTCCCGAGTGCTGGGATTAAAGGTGAATGCCACCACTGCCCAGGAGAAAGGGATGACTTTTAAAAAAAAAAGGGGGGGGGTCTCACTGTATAGCCCTCCCTGACATAGAACTAATAGAATTAGCTCCATTAAGCTTGCTGGCCTCAAACTCATCTGCCTCCCAAGGGCTGGGATTAGAGTTGTTCACCACCATACCTGACTACTTCTGTGCTTGTAAATCTTTACATTTTGAATTAGATTAGGTATTACCTCATCAAAATGTTTGGATTTAAATAAACCAAGCATATTGCTGTCTTCCAAATGAAGGTGGAAGCCAGGTATAGTGGCACACACCTTTAGTCCCAGCATACAAGAGGCAGGCAGGTCTGTGTGAGGCCAGCCTGGTCTACATAGAGTTTCTAGAGTTTCAGGGTAGCCAGGACTACATAGAGACCCCTCTAGCTACAAAAAAAAAAAAAAAAAAAAAAAAAAAACTGGGAGAGAGGGACCCTCTTGGCCTCAAGGCAGCATGTGTAAATCTGACCTGGTACTCTGTCAGCCACCCAAGCTGAAGCTGGCATTAACAATGTGCTTGCAAATCACTTTGAGATCCTGGAGAAACTCTTACATGGGTATTAGGGAGAGGCTTGCAACCTTGCATTTTTGTCAGGCTCTATGGAGAGTGGGTGCTAGTCAATGGACTCCACTCTGAGCTCCGTGGAATGAAATGCAGCAGGGAAGGAACTGGACACGAATCAGGAACAACTTTTCAGGGAAAGTCATCCTTTATCTCATTAGCACTTCAAGGCTGAGCTTCTGAGAGCAGGAACTCTCCCATCCCCCATATAGCAAGAGCTGAACCATACAGACTAGTCCATCTCTCACCTGGGCAAGTCGGTTTCCCAGTGGGTGAAGGCTAGAATGGGCTAATGGCTTACCAATCTTCCCTCCCAAATCTTACCTAGGAGCTCCTGGAGTTTGCTCTCCCCTTAAGTCTTTTCCAGGTGCCTCCTTGGCCACCTTTAAATTTTACATCTGGGGGTGGGGCTAAAAGTCCCCTGGATGTCCTCAAACATCCAGCTTTTTCTGAGCAACCATCTTTCTCTCTGCAGAGACTTGTCAGGAGTCTTGGCTAGAGGCTGGAGGAAGGCCAGGCTGTCTGGGCTGCCTGATGACCCTGGAGAGAGGTACATGTGTGTGCCCCTCAACCCTAGGGCCAGGTCAGCATCTCATCTCATTCAAGCTTCTCAGGACTAAAGTGCAGCATGCACCCATAAATGTGTACTGCCTGTATGCATAAGTGTGTGTCCGGCTGGGTTCAGACACAGGCACTGAAGCCCCTGCCCCTTCCTTGGGAGCCTGCCCAGGGGTCTCTTTTCTGCATCTGAGCCACTGGCCAACAGGCAACAGGAGGCTCCCCTCCACACAACAACAAAATGCAGCAGGATCCCATGGAAGCCGAATGGGGTTGAGGGGCCTCTTCCCAGAAGCCCCATCCTGAGCAAGCACCAAGAGGTCTCTTCCCAGGTCAGAGCTGTGGTCTGTCCTGGCCCCATCATCTTTGAATCTGTTCTCTGCCAAGAGCTCTGACTGCATCTTCAGTCTTCACTGTTTGCAAGATCTGTGGCTGCTTCACATTCACCATGGCTTTCTCCAGGAGGCCAGACCTTGGGGGAGGGGTGCACACAGGGCAGAGAGAGGGCTGTCAGGAACTCTTGCGGGCATGGCCTTTCTGAAGCAGAGTACATAGCAGTCGCAGCCTCTCTCTGGCAGTGAGCAGGCAGGCACAGCCGAGGAGAAAGAAATGCTGTCCTAGCTGCAGCTCAGATGATGTTCACACTGGGGACTGGGAAGCACGGTATCTCCCGCAGCAATAGGAGGCTGCGCTAGACAAGCAAGGTGGACCTGCAGGTAAGGGGGCTCAGGTGGGTGACCAGGCAGTGACAGCTCAGGAAATGGCCTGACTTAGGATCCGTCTGGTCCCCCTGCTACAGCCCACAGCGTCTGCCTTTCCTTAGTCTGCTCCATCCAAGGGAATTTCTCAGCTCAGCCCACGCTGACCCAGCTCCCAGCAGGAGGCTACCCAACTTTAACCAGGAGTGAAGACTGAGAGAAAGACCACCCTAAACCAAGGCGCACCCTCTGGAGTAAATCCCAAGTAGTGTCCCATGTGTCGTCCTACCCCCATCCCTCTTCCCTGTGTCCCCCCCCACACCAGCTGTTCCACAGCCCCTTACCTGGCAGGCTCAAAGAGCTGGCAGCTGTCATTCTGCTTCCTGCCACTCTGGGCCAGCTCTTGCAGCTGCTCATCCTGCTGAACCCCTTCCCTTGGCTTGTCCTCTGGCAGCTCCTCCTCGATCTGGTTGGCCTCAAGCTCAACATTGGCTTCCTCCTCCTGGCCCCTGGGTAAGACATGGCCACAACCTTCGTGGGGCACTGACAGAGAATTGAACTCCCAGCTGGACCATACTCTTTCCTCCAGCAGAGCAGCCTGAGGCCAGGTAGCAATGTACCAGCTGGGTTACCCAGACAAATCATACAGGTCCACACCCACAGTCCAGGTTGCTGGGGCTGAGGAAGTATATGCTGCCTGACCCAATTCCTCATTCTGGTCCCAGTTCCTCCAAAATGCCTTCTTCAAGGACAAAGCCAGAACACTTTTCCCTTCCTGTCACCCCAGACCCAGCACCCTCCCATGCTGTGTTCTGTGTTCCAATGCTAAATGCACACACACACACACACATGCACACACACTTTCCAAGTCCAAGCCGGTATTCTCATCTCGAAGATGGAGAAACTGTGGCTCAAGGAGCCATGAGGCTTGTCTAAAACCATACAGTAAGATAAATTCTGTAAACATCTTATTCCATGTGACCTGGGGAGATGTCTTCTTCCTCAGACCTTCTGAACCAAGTCCAATCTTGTGAAGCAGGTACATACAGTCAACGACGCACCCGGGGCCACACAGATGAGGCTCTAGGCAGGAGCTGAGGTGCTCCTTGGGACTGGGGAAGGAAGATTAACATACCTCACTCTCTCAAACTTCTTGTCTCGGTAAAACTCGCTCTTTCTGATGAGGTAGATAAGTACCAAGTCGCAGAAGAAAGCCCCCTGCAAAAGAGTTCCAATCTTTGACTCATAATCCTAGCTTCATAATCTTGGAGCCTGCAACAGGCAGGAGCAGGACATCACCTGATCATGCAGAAACAGCCCAGAAAGGGGTGATGAACAGGGCCCAAAGCCACTCTGGTAGACACAGTTCAGATCTGGACATGCTACCTAACACCATGGATCAAGCTCCCCTCACTACCCTGACCACACGTAACTTGGCTAAGAATCTATAGCCTGCCAGGTTTGCACTGGGGTGCCAGGAGGATGTGGAGCACAGAGACCTGGGGACTCCCTGTGCTGCAGGAAACAAGTGGATTGTGATATAATGAGAACAGGATTGGGAGCAGGTGGGAAATAGTATTCACTCAGCCTGGGGAGCTGAACTTAGGCCTGGAATTGCATTGAAAATGGAGAAGCAGGCTTGTCATCACCAGTAAGATGCCCAGGGCTCGTGGGGGATGAGCAAAAGGTGGGGCTGAGAACCAGTGTGTCTGAGAATGCTTTGGAGACATAGGTCCTAGTGACACTGGCAGTTGTGATGCTTTGTAGAGAGCCCTGTGACAGTGTAAGATGGGCTGTTGGGCATCTTAACCTGGACAACAAGGATGCTACAACTGTGGTAAGGAAAAGACAGGAAGCCTGGGCAGACCTAGTTTGAGGCCTGCTGGGGTGGACTAATCAATCACCCCAACACAGGCTTCAGATCAGAGCATGTTGTATGTAATTCCTGTCTGCTCCAGCAGAGGGCAACTCTACCCATAGTGCAGGGATAGAGGTGTTGCTCCTGAAGGCAGAGGAGGGCCTACAGTGTCTTTCCCAGACTCCAGAAATGCCATTTATCAATTCCTCGCTCCTACTTCTTCCCTCAGCCTTCACCACCACCTTTTGCTGTATCATTCCCTTCCTTTCACAGCTGTGTCCCCAGACTTCCAAACTTTACCCACATTGTATGAGAGCTATGAATGCACATAGCCAGGATCCCTAAACACTCCACTTGGGAACCACTGTTTAGTTTTGTTTTTTGAGATTGTGTTTCTCTGTGTAGCCCTGGCTGTCCTGGAACTTGATCAGTAGACCAGGCTAGCCTCAAACTAAGAGATCCACCTGCCTCTGCTTCCCTAGTGCTAGGATTAATGGTGTGTACCACCACCATTGTTAGTGATCACTCTTAATCCCGTCAAGCCAGGCTTCTCAGTCCCAATGCAAAGTCTATCCTGAGTCCTGATGGAATCTTCTAGTGGCAGGTTGATGTGCCCAGGCAGAGGAGGGAAGTGGCCCCCGGAAGCCTTGGCAGGGAACGTGCTGTGTTGGCATGAGCCCCCAACAAAGACTCCCACACTTAACCTCCTCCCAGAAGTACCAAGGGTATGACAGACATTTGCAGGGAGCCCTTCCCTACACTCCAGCTGTCTCCTACCAAGGAAGCCACTATGGGTGGCTAAATACCCACCCCACAGGGTTATGAGACTATCTCTGCTGCCTCTCAGCCGTTCAAATTCAGTTCTCAGATGGAGACCACTTTTTAGCAACACAGCTGTGGGGAGGACCCACTGAATAACCAATCAGGAATTCACTTAAAACATACTGCACAGGATACCCACAAAGCAAAGAAGACCCCGGCTCCAAATGTCAACTGTGTTCAGATTGGCAAAGCATAATTGCCAGACCCATTGCCAGACCCAGAATCTCAGATTCCAGCCCACACCAGGACTAGAGGATGATCTACCTGTGTCACACTCCACTCAAGCTCACAGTCAGAGCTACATACAGTCAGTGTCCTGGGAGGGGGTGTGCTGGCAGGGTGTGAAGTCACCCTTGCCCCTGTGACCTCACAGGCCCTCCTGTGTTCTGGGCTCAGCATGTTCCTCCCAGGCAGTTAGTTACCTCCCTTTCCCTAGAAAGCCAGCAAGGCAGGGGAGGTACTCACAGCACCCATGAGCGCCAGCCCAGAACCTATGTTGATGACTGTAGGAATGATGTTGAATTTTCCTGCCTGTGAAGCAGAAACAGCCAGGTGAGTAAGGCAGAGTGGACAGCCAGATCCCCCTGACCCAGCAGCCACCAGGCACTGGAATGGAAAGCAGGTCTGCATACCTTGCCATTAACTATCACATCAAAGCGGATGCCATAGGCTTTCATCAGGTCACGAAACTCTACCCCATTGGAGTCTCGGTAATACCTGGCAAACCTGGGGAGACAGGGCCCGGGGGATGCTCATCTGCCTTACCTTTCTCCATTGCAGCACAAAGTGGCTGCTTTGGAGAATTCTCAGCAATCCAGGGTCCTAGAGCAGCTCTAGAATAGTGTGCAGACCCACTCACTGAGACATGCTCAGTACAAACCCCTGTAGCACCAGAACACTGGTGGACTTGACCCAGCAGAGGATACAGAGCAGAGCCATCAGGTAGCACAAAAACAATAGTTACCTGAAGTTGTACCCAGAGGAGATGGATTTTGTGTGCCTGTTGTCCAGACGGTTGAAATAATAGTGTGGGTCACATTCAGAGGCAGCTTTATCAAGGTCACAGTCCCATTCGATATGGATTCCTATCACACCACCCTTGATACAAGAAACAGGGTGAATGCTGGAGCTGTCTGGGTGGGTGGCCCTCTAGGAGAGCCAGACAAGTTGGCCAGAGGTCAGCTAACTAGACTGGTCTGACCACCCTTTATGCACAAATCAACATGTGTCCATGGGGTCCCTTTCAACTGTTTCTGATGGTGTCCTGGAGTCAGAGGAAGGTGCCAAGTCAGCCCCACTCACTTATCCCCACTGAGTGCCTGATAGAGCCAGGCCATTTGTCACCACTAATTCTGAAAATAGTGAGCTCATGGGGACAGGTGACTCTGCAGGATCCCCCTGGACCGAATGTCCCCCACCCCCACCTCTCACTGCAGAGCCCAGGTTCCCAGGGAGAGCTCCCTGACCATACACCACACACCTTCAGTGCTATGTCCTGGAAGTCGGCCCCTGCCCAGCGGACAATGGACCCCAGTCGGAAGATAGGACAGTAGAGATTCTTGGGGCTGAAGTGACAGGTTTTCAGGAAATTTTTGTTGTTTGTTTCTAGCACATTAGCTCTAAGAGGAAGCCATGACAGGAGGGTAAGAAATTTTGTTGCTGGGCCAGACCCAGGAAGCAATGGGCCTTTCAGCAGATGTGACCTCTTCCCCAGCTTGTATCATATTCCGCTCAAGAACAGAGACCACCCCCAAGCAGAGAAAAGGGCACCCCTGTTCATTCATGTATGTATACACACCATGCACAGCTTGAGCATGGTCACAGGGAGGGCCCTCAGCCCACCTCCCCATCCAGTAGCCAAGCCCCACCTACTTGGAGAAGTTGAACTTGGGGAAGCGAATGAAGTTCTTTATGAAAATGGTGAAGCCTTCAGCATCCTTCAGGAGGGGATCCCTGAAAACCAGGCCAGGGCAGCCTGAGCAAGGAGACCTGCCCCTGCCCTCTATGGCTCCCCTAGACCTATGGAGTAGGTAGGCCTCTGGCCTCAGGTGGGACCCATTGTATAAGACTGCGTAGGCAACTCCTCTGGGACCACAGGCCACAGCCACTCACGTTGGCATGGACTTTGTCTCCACTGGGCACCAAGCAAAGATCTCACAGGTGCCCCGGGTAGAGTTCCCTGCCCGCAGACAACGACCAGTTTTCAGTCCTGCAGAGGGACAGGGACAATGCCATGGACCCTCCTGTCCAGGTTTCTTTGCCCTGCTCCAGCCCCGGCCACTCCACATCCTCACCATGTCCAGCTACAACAGACTCCCCAGCATGGCAGTCAGTGTCCTCAGAACACTCGCCATCAGGTATGCCTTCCCGCTGCAAGGAGAGAAAAGGATCTGCGAGAGGTCCCCCAGCTCAGGACTAGGTCCCATCAGAGATAGAAGAGGGCTTCTTCCCTGGCCTGAGGCCACATGCCCTTGGAAAATCTATTTCTCAGACTGGCAAAGTGACTTGGTAGGTAAAAGCATCTACCATGAAAGCCTGGCAACCTATTATTCCCTGGAAACCATAGTAAAAGGAGAAACCAACTCCTGAAAATTGTTCTCCGACCTCCACACACATGCCATGGTATGCACATATGCACATGCACACACGCACATACACATGCACATACACATGCAAGCAGGCACTAATCATACATGAAAATGTAAAACTTAAAACAAATTAAGAAAACCCATCTCTCCCCCATATTACATGACACCATGCAGCATTTATACAGTATTTTGGTACTTTTGGAGCAAACCAAAATACAGGAGGACTGTCACCATGCCTGGGGGATTTCCAACCCCTCCCCAAAACACATGCCAAATCAAACCTCAGCACAGATGCCCTGCCGCTGGTTAGGAGTCACGATCAGGTTGGTGACCACGAAGAAAACGTTCTCCCCCTGAGGAGCCAGACAGAGTTTGAGGAATCTCCTCCTGGCCTCTTGGGAAGAGTCAGCCAGGTGAGAGTGGACCTCTATATGGGGTTGGAAACAATGGGGACCACAAAGCTGGTGGTCATTGTCCATCCGTCTGATGAGCCTACACTTTCCAAGTGGAAATCCTTTGGTGGGTCACCCCAAGCACTGTCACCCCATAATTCTGTCCCAACCTCAGCCTGGTTCTACATCAGAGCAGCTATGAACAAGCTGGGGAGCTATTCCCAGGGGCACTGTTCCAGGGGACTCTGGGCCCCGTGTAGTCTCAACAGACACATAGATCACTGAGAAACTGAGAACCAGGCCTGATGCAGAAAATGACCTAGACAGGGCTTCTGTCTATATTCTGAGCCAGAGAGACAACTGATGGAGTTGCCTGGTACTTCCTGTGTGACCCACCCCAAGCCATACCTCACCAGCCCAGGCCCCAGGTGGTGATCTGACCTGAGATGGGATGACAAAGTCTGCTACATCCCAGAGCCGTTCCCCAAGCATAGTGGTATTGGTATATGCCACACCCTTGACTTTGGTGACCACAGCACTCTGCAGGGAAGTGTCAATATCCTGATAACTCTTCTTTATCAGAAACACCCATCTGTAGAAATATGACCAACAGGTGGGCGTCAGTCACTGGCTGCCCAGGTCCAGCTGGCATGAAAACCACAGTAAGTCCTAGGTGGATGTGAGTGAGAGAGCTCAGGGTTCACCTGTCCCAAGAGCATGGGTGATACTGCACTAAAGATGCTAAAGCAGGAAGATAGACAGTTGAAGGCCATCCTTAGCTACAGGATGAGACACTACCTTTTAAATAAAATCTGAGGCTGGAGAGTTGGCTTAGTGGTTAAGAGCACTTCTTGCACTTGCAGAGGGTCCCATTTCCACTCCAGGCACCCTCTCGGTAGCCCACAACCATTTGTAACTACAGTCTCAATTCTGACCTCCTCAAGGACAGGGACCAGGCACACATTTGGTGCTCAGACATACATGCAGGCAAAACATTCATACACATAAAACAATACTAAAAAAGAAAGAAATTGTCAGGTGTGTGGCATGCTCCTTTAATCCCAGCACTTGAGAGGCAGAAACAGGCAGACCTCTGATTTCAAGGCTATCGTGGTCTACAGAGTGAGTTCCAGGACAGTCAGGGCTACACAGAGAAACCTTGACTTGAAAAACAAAACAAAATACCAAAGGTAGGGAAGAGAAGAAGTAAAAGAAATCCAAGGGAAAGATAAGCCAGTAGAGGGTTTGCCTAGCATGTATAAGGCCTTGTGTTTTGCACCAAAAACAAGTAAATTAAAAATAATGAGTCAGGTTGTGGTTGAGCACACCCTTAATCTCAGCGCTCAAAAGGCAGAGACAGGTAGATCTCTGTGAGTTCGAGGCCAGCCTGGTCTACAGAGCTTGTTCCAGGACAGCTAGGGCTTATACACAGAGAAATCCTGTCTCGGTAAAAATAAATAAATAAAAATAAATAAATAAATGATGGCCCTTGTCAAATGCTAAGCACAGAGCAAAAGCTCCATGCACAGAACCTCTGTAGGTAGCTATCATCCAGCTTAACCTGTCTTGATGAAGCTGAGGAAACCAGTCAAAAAAGGAAGAAGCCAGCGCCTTGAGTCATGCAGTGAGCGGCAGGGCAGGCAGGCTCTCTCCAGGGAACCAGGGAAGTGTCAACCAACATGTGTCCACTTCCTCATTTCTGGGGCAGAGGTAGGGGAGCCTAGACCCTAAGCTATCACATTTTCAAGGAACCCTGAGAAACGTGATTCTTGAGCAAGCCTTCCATTTTAGCAGAAAAAAAAAAAATGCCAGGCTTTGTCCAATCCAAAAGAGTAAGCAAATATTCAACATTTGTTTATTCATTTCATACCTATTCCCAAATGAAGTGTCACCAGTCCCTCCCATCACAGCATCCCCAGACTGCAGAGAGATAGAAATAGACACTGAGCAAATGACCATCTTAATTGGCTATGGGAATGCCAGGGAGGGACAGAGAACAGGAGTCATTGGAGCACCCAAACCTGAACAAGGAGTGGTACCACCAAGTAGGGAAGGAAAAACTATGGTGGCTGAGGTAGGACACTGCCTTGGTGCTAAAATCCAGGAAATGCTAACAATGCTGCTATTATCCACGCCATTAATCCCAGCACTCGGGAGGAAGAGGCAGACAGATCTCTTAGCTTGAAGCCAGCCTTCTCTACAAAGTTCCAGGACAGCTAGGGCTGTACAGAAAAACCCTGTCTCCAAAAACCAAAACGAAATTAAAAAAAAAAAAATGCAGCCATTAGCAGGCAGTAAGGCTAGGACTGCCTTCCCAGGAACAATAATTGCACACTGTTTAATGTGGGAAAGAGTGAATTGCCCCTGTTCTCAGTGGCTGCCTCTCTCTACCTGTGCCCTCCTCTCTTCCTAGGGAGCAAAGGAAGGCTCTGACCAAGGTCTAGTTGTTAAGCTTCCTTCAAGCTGCTCCTGGGCTGGTGGACCCACATCCTGCTAGGTGAAATGGCAACAAGGAGACAGTAGAGCAGCTAGACATTGGAGAGACTGTCCTGCCTGTGTTACCCGTGAGCTAACCCTGAGTTCCAGAACATGCCAGTCTGATGAGCTGGCCCAACCAAGAGTAAGCCAGGGATGCTTTGTGCTTATAAATAACCTGCTGGGTGCCTGCGCCAGCTGTCAAGCCAGAGCCCAGGAAGGCCTCTGGGGGCAGCTGAGCCCAGAGTCCTGACATTGCTGCCTCCTGGCCATGGCTGTAACACCGGGCACTCTAGTCCCGGGAGAAGAGGCTCCCACAAATAGCTTCAAACCAGGTACCCAGTTGCCCCCTCCCACGTTTTACACGGCATAGACCTTCCCACCCTTACATCCAAGGACCCTTAAGGACCTACTCCCCAAGGCCCCCGTGTCTACACCTTCCCCCTCCCCATCCCCCTGAAAAAGTGCCCCGAGTACTCACATGAGCAAGTACAACAGGATAGTGAGCTGCAGCACCCGGTAGAGTAGCCCCACCTTCTTGCTCTTGGCGACCACGAACTTTGCGGTCTTGTAGTCGAACAGCGACAGGGCGAACCCCTTCCAGGCCGCCTGACCCATGCCTCCGGCTCACTCTGCCCGCCGCTACCTCCCGCCGCCCCGCGGCCAACCGAGCACTCTGCTCTGCCGCAGTCTCGGACGCGCGGCTCCGAAGGGCGTGAGCCGATGGGCGGGCGCACAGACCCGGGCCCGAGCTCCGGGCGGCCAGGAGGACTACGCCGCCGCCGGGAGCTGTACTGCGGCAAGCGCCCAGCCCAGCCCAGCCCGTGGCCACTGACACGGTGACACCACCGGGCTGTGCCTCCGGCCACTGGCCTGCAAGGACACGCGCACGAGTGCGGAGGCGAGGAAGGAGGGAAGGTGCTTTCCAAGGCGTCTCTCCCGCCCCTACCTCCTCCCACCGGACTCGCTCAAGGGGAGTTGGGTGGGGAAACAGAGGCAGGATCCGGGAGGGACCCAGAGCGCAGGAAGTTTAGGAAGAGGGATAGATACAGCCACTAGTAATGACTGGTTTCCCGAGTGCCCTGGCCTCGCTGCTCATACTGTCAGACAGGCTTGCAGGTCCCGGGCGCCTGTCTGCTGCCATCAAAGGGACGACTGCAGGATCTAACTCCTACAAGTATCTGGGCCAGCGATCCCAGTCAGGTACTATGGGGTAGGAAGAGCCCGGGCACTAAGGCTTGGGACCCTAAAATATGCCTAGAGACAATAGTTCCCAAAGAAAAAGACGGGTTCAATGCCATCTTCTGAGACTGAACCAAACAGGGAGAAGAGGTCCCTGGAGCTGAGCTTTGGAACTGGTGTGGACTGGGGTAAGCTGTCTGTGGTGAAGGCCTGTATGATGAGAGGCTTCCGGTGGCATGGGTCTATATGCTGTAAGGGGCTGTGTGGTGAGAAATTACTGTGCTGTGTGTGCACTGTGGGGCTGTGCATGGTGAGGAGTTGTGTGTATACTGAGGGGCTGTGCGGGGTGAGGGGCAGTGTGGTGGTGGGCTGTGTATGTCCTGAGGCGTTGGGTGTGGTGAGGGTCCGTGTGCCAAGGTTGAGAGGCTGTGCACACTGTTTCCCTCACCTGCATCTGAGCATCCCACCCCTGCTCCTCTCCTGGCCCTGGTCCTGGCTCTCTTGCTCAGTGGGAAGCTCACTCTCTGAAACTACAGATTCTAGAGGTTGGAGGAAATGCTGAAGCCCACCAGGTGTGATCTCTAAAAGATGAAAGTCTCAGGGAAAGCCAGGCAGTGGTAATGCATGCCTTTAGTCCCAGTGCTTAGGAGGCAGAGGCAGGCAGGTCTCTGAGTTTGAGGCCAGACTGGTCTACAGAGTGAGTTCCAGCACAGACAGGGCTGATTACGCAGAGAAGCCCTGTCTCAAAAAAATGATCTGCAACTGAATGGAATGACTATTTAAAAAGAGAGGGGGGCAAACTAGAGAGAATAAATTAAAATAAAAAAGGACAAATTCCTGGGCTTTGCCCTTGCATTTCCCATTTATTCTAGGAAACATAGAGATCTGCATTTTGTTCTTAAAGTGTCATTTGGAAACCATGCATTGCTATAACGTCAAGCTCAACCCAACCAGTTCCTAAAAAAGGCTTATTTTCATACACCTAAAGTAACCCCCATGCCATTCCAATCACCTCATCCCATGGCCCCAACTTAGACCTGCAGAGCACTTTTTCTGTTCTTGTTTTTGGAGACAGGCTTTCTCTGTGTAGCCCTGGATGTCCTGGAACTCTCTCTATAGGCCAGGCTGGCCTTTAACTCAGAGATTTGCCTGCCTCTGCCTCCCAGGTGCTGAGATTAAAGGTGTGCGCCACTATGCTAGATTATCTTCAATGCACTTTTTTTAAAAAATACTTTATTTAATTTTATTGTATGTATGGTAGTGTGAAGGTGTCATATCCCCTGAACTGGAGTTACAGAGCTGCCTTGTGGGTACTGAGAATTGAACCTGGATCCTCTGGAAGAGCAGCCAGTGCTCTTAACCTCTGGGCCATCCCTCCAGCCCAACAGAGCACTTTCAATACCTGGGATGATGTCACTAATTTGTTTACTGTGCCCCCCCCACCAAGACCAGAAGCTCCAAGAGGTTGGGGGCCCTTCTTTGAATAATCCCATGTCCCAGGCCCAATGACATGCCTGCCATGTGCTAGTTCCGTATATTTTCCAAATGACTGAACAGACCCTCCACTCTGTCCCTGGCATGACCCTGGAAGCTGAAGGCATCCTGTCTGCCAGCCTCCACCTCAGTCCTCGCCTAGTGTGACTGACTCTCCAGTAGCCAAAGGGGAAGCAGCTACCACGAAGTAATGTTGCTCACACACTTAAAGATGTCCACCACCTGAAATTCTGTCCCAATATAAGGTGGTGGAGTTGGAAGGTAGATTCCAAGCTGGAGAGCTGGTGGGAATCTGTTGACATCTGATCCTGAGAAATAATCATCTGGAAAGAGTCCCACAGCCCATAGCCCATAGCCCACAGCCCAGCTGCCTGAAACATCAAGATGGTGTCACAGGAGCATGAATCTCACATCCAACAATTTTGTCCTGACCTTGAAGGATGAAAGCCTCATCCTGAGCAGTGACAGCCACTAAGAGATCACCCTGTGAAAGAAAGAATAGGAGCTTCTCTTCCTGTAGCTGAGGAGCCAGCCAGGAAAACAGTCCTCCCCATCCCAACCTCAGTGGCCCCTTGAAAAGACTGAAGACCACCACGAAAGGTGGCATCCACCTTTAATTCTAGCACTCAGGAGGCAGAGGCAGGCTCAAACTCATCACTGTGGGTTTGAGGTTAGCCTGGTCTACAGAGAGAGTTCCCAGAAGAAATGACTTTCCTCCTTCCTGTGCTAGCTAGGACCTTTGGGACAGTGGGCAGAACCAGATGAATCCTGGGGGCTCACTGAGCAGCTAGACTAGCTGAAATAGCTCAAGGGTCAGTGAGGAGGCACCATCTCAATAGCAAGAAGGCAACAAAAGCAAATGCCTGATGTCCGCACCTGACCTCCACATGGCATGCACACATACACGAGTGCACCTGCATATGTGTGTATGCATACACAGGCATGCATATGTGTACACACGCACACACTCACACACACACAGGGGGTAGAGGGAGAGAGGGTGGGGGAAATAGAGAGGAGAGAGATCCAGAGGAAGGTGCCAATGTTGAACCTCTCTCCACTCCCCACTCAGGGCTCTGATAGAGGCCTGTTCCTTGACAGATGCTCTGATATGAACTAAAGCCCCAAGACACAGAGCAGAGCCCCCTAGATTAGGTCTAGTAGTAGAAGTATTTGAGGACAGTGTCTCATTATATAGTCTAAGCCAGCCTCAAACTTGTGATCCTCCTGCCTCGGCTTCCTCAGCGCTGGGATTTCAGGCATGCACCCACACATGCTTCCTTCCACTGCTGCTTCCATTCTTGCTCAAACCTACAACAGGAAGACATCCCAAAGAGGTGCTTGTGCCTTCCCTCAGACTATCAGACAATTGAAACTGGTTCCCAGGGGCCTCGTGTTGGGAGAAAGAGGAGGCTGAAGCCTGGTGCCTGCTAGAAGCATCTTCCAGGAAGAGATTTCACAGTTCTGATAGCTTCTCAGGCTACATGGCTGGAGAGACAGCTAAGAATGATGCAGGGCAGGACCACATCTTGACCAGAATGGCTTAGTTATGCATACTCCTGCCTTCTCTAAACCTCCGCTTTTCACTATAACTGGTCTAATAAGCCTATTGAGGACAGGTGGTCAAGGCTAGGTCTTCAAGGCCATGAGGACCAAGTCTCTAACCCTGACACCTCCAATCATCTAGTATATGCTGCTGAAGAGGCCAGAATATCAGGTCCCTGCTCTCTGACCTGTCCCAAGGACCACTCTGGCTTTAGAGAGAGGTCTTGCTCTACCATGGCCTCCTGCACATTTACTGCATAGCTGAAAGTCGACTGCACCTTCTGACAACTATCCAGAAGCTTGAGAGACCTTGAAGGGTATTTAGGGAGGAAAGGATTGCCTTGTTATACCCAGTGGCCGGTCATAACATCAGCTGTGTCTTTGGGAAAAAAAAAAAAAAAAGGAGGGGAATAGCAGGGTGTCTCAATGGGTAAAGATGCCTACTGCCAAGCCTGATGGTTTAAGTTCCATCCCTGGTGTCCCACATAGTGGAAGGAAAGAACCAGTCCCTGCTAGTAGTCTTCTGATCTCCATACATGTGCCCCAGCACAAGCACATAAATCAGTCAATCAAAAATAAAATTTAATTTAAAAAGAAAGAATAAAATCCCAGGGTGTATTTAACAAGTCAGGGTAGGCAAACTTTCTTGAAGCTAATGTTTCAAGTGTATTCTTGTATCTGGCATTTTCTTCCTAAGGTTTAGTTAAAATAATGGGGGAAATATATATATATATATATATATATATATATATATATATATATATATGTTGTGCCCAAGAATATTGGATTCCATCTCTACATCCTGAGGCCAACTCACCACACCCACAAACTCAGATTTAGCACCCTTTGTGCCCAAAGGGGAGAGGAGTACTCTTGTCATCACACTGATACTAAAAATCTGGAGATGGGCTGGAGAGATGGCTCAGAGGTTAAGAGCACTGGCTGTTCTTCCAGAGGTCCTGAGTTCAATTCTCAGCACCCACATGGTGGCTCACAACCATCTGTAATGAGACCTGATGCCCTCTTATGGCATTCAGGCAGATAGAACACTGTATACATAATAAGTAAATCTTTTTTTTTTTTTAAGTATGAGGACAGTTCCAAAATTATACCTGCAACTCTTTCCTCCTCCTCTTTTTGGTGGCAGTTTTTTTCATGCTGGGGCACAAACCTGAGTCCTTGCAAATATTAAGCTCACTGAAAGCTCCACCCCTAGCTCTTGTCTGCTTTGAGGAACCATTTTCTTTATTTAACTAGCTCCATGTCAAGAGTCTTAAAGTTACGAGCATGTTTTTCCACCGGCCTGGTCCCAGAGCCGTCCCAGCCCCAAATAGCACACAGAGACGCTGTATTAGATATAAAGCTGTTGGCCTGTTACTAGCATTTCTTATTGGCTAGCTCTGTCTTAAATATTAACCCATTTCTATTAATCTAAGTATTTCCATGTGGTCT